CCATGAGAAAAAACCCGATCCAAGTGAGAATGCGTATCCTGACGTACTCTTCATGTCGTCTATTGATCTTGCCCAATCACTGTCGGTGTAGCAAATCATCCTTGAGTTGATCATGGTCTTGTACCATATACCAAACTCTCTTGTGCCTTGCAGATACCTTAAAATCCTTTTTCCTGCTCCATAGTGAATCTGGCTTGGCGTTTGCTTGAATCTTGACAGAAGACTTGTAGCATACATAATGTCTGGTCGTGTAGCTGTGAGATATAGAAGACTTCCGATCAAACTCCTATATCGTGATACATCTACTTCTGGTGCTCCATCATCTTTCTTTAGCTTTTCGTTTACCACTAAAAGAGTATTGATATGTTTACATCCGTATATCTTGCATCTCTTTAGTAAAGTTTCAGTATATTTCTTCTGAGAGATAAATATTCTTTCTTTTTGTTATATCACCTCTATCCCGAGGAAGTAGTTCATCAAGTCAAGATTAGTCATTTCAAATGTTTTCATCATATCTTCTTTGAATTCTTTCATCATTTCCTTATTGTTTTCTGTATAGATGAGATCATCAACATATAAGGAGAAAATGAGATTATACTGACCTTGTGTCTTGATATAAAGTATTGGCTCACTCTTACTCCTTCTGAATCCTTGATCGATAAAATATTTATTAATTTTGTTATATCATGCTCGAGGAGCTTGATTCAGGCTATATAGAGTTTTTCTTAGTCTTAGTACTTTTTCTTCGTGGCCTTTGTTGATGAAGCCTTGTGGTTGCTTAACATAGATCTCTTCTTCAAGTGTTCCATTGAGAAAGGCGGATTTGACATCCAGTTGATGGATGTTCCAACCTTTTTGTGCAGCAAGGGATATTAAAGCTCTAATTGTATCCAGACGAGCAACTGGAGCAAAAGTCTCATTGTAGTCGATTCCAGGTTGTTGTGAGTATCCTTTTGCGACCAATATTGCCTTATATTTTTGTACGGTTCCATCATGGTTGAGCTTAGTTTTATATACCCATTTTACTCCAATGATATATTTTCCATGAGGATAGTCCACAAGCTCCCAAGTATTATTCTTCTCAATCATTTTGATTTCTTCTTCCATGGCCTTGACCCATACTTCTTGCTTTGAAGCTTCTTCATAGCAGAAAGACTCAATGATGGTCATGTTACAAGTTTCATATATATCTACCAAAGATCTTACATGTCTTGGTGTAGACTCTGGTGAAGTATATTCTTCTTCTTCTTGTGAAGGCGTACTTGGATCTCCTGTGCCTTCTTCAGGTTTTTGTACTGGAGTCAGGATGTTGCTTCTAACAATTTGTTCTTCTTCCCAATTCCAAGAAGCATTTTCGTCAACCTCAACATCTTGACTAATGACGAGTTTCTTTGTTTGTAAGTTGTAGACTTGATAGCCTTTTGATTGTTGGCTGTATCCCAAGAATATTCTTCTTATAATTTTGTCTTCAAGCTTATGCCTCCTCTGATCAAGAACATGTATGTAACAAATTGATCCAAATATTCGTAGGTGTTTAGCTGATGGTTTTCTTCCACTCCAAGATTCAATAGGAGTCTTGTTTTGAACTGCCTTAGTTGGACATCTATTGAGTATATATACAGCAGTGTAAACTGCTTCTGCCCAAAACGTATTTGGCAAGCCTTTTTCCTTCAACATTGATCTTGTCATTTCCATCACTGTGTGATTCTTTCTCTCTGATACACCATTTTGTTGTGGTGTATATGCAATTGGAAGTTGTCTTTATATTCCTTCATCTTCAAAAAATTTATCAAATTTGTCGGAGGTGAACTCTTTGCCTCGATCGCTCCTAAGCACCCTTATCTATTTTCTGCTTTGCTTTTCAACAAGGGCCTTAAATTTCTTGAATATTCTAAAGACTTTTGATTTTGCTTTGATGAAGTAGACCCAAGTCATTCTAGAAAAATCATTAATGAAGAGAATGAAGTACCTGTTGTTATTAAGCGATGGAGTCTTCATCGGTCCACAAATATCTGTGTGGATTAACTCCAACAAGTCTTTTGCTCTCCAAGTTTTTCCCGTAGAAAATGGTAATCTGTGTTGCTTTCCTAGAAGGCATCCTTCACAAGCTTCGCTACTCTCCTTAAGGCTTGGTAGATCTCTCATCATGCCTTTTTGATGTAGTAGCTTTAAGGCATGAGTATTGAAGTGGTCAAATCTACGATGTCATAGCCATGAGTCATCAACTTCTACTTTCATGGCAATGTTAGTTCCTCGATTGAAGTTTATAGGAAAACTTCTATTTCTCTTTTCCATTTTTACATGGTCAATCTCTAGATTTTTCTTATCATAGATAGTGCATGTATCTCTTTCGAAGTGAAGAGTATATCCTTTCTCCATCATTTGACCAATACTTAAGAGATTTTCTTTAAGATTGGGAACTAATAAGACATCATTGATAAGTCTCATACCTTTCTTGGTCTCCGCTATAAAACTGCCTTTTCCTTTTGACTCTACCATGGTGTCATTTCCCAATCGCACTTGAACTTTGATGGAGTTATCAATTTCTTTGAAGATGCTTGGATCTTTCGCCATATGGTTACTACACCCGCTCTCCAAGTACCATCTTTCTTTTGATTCATTATCAGAACATCTCGTAGCATAGAAGAGATGTTCTCTATCTCGTTCTTCAGCAAAATATGTTTGTTGATGATTTTTGTTGCGACACATTTTCTCCACATGTCCAAATTTCTTACAATATTGACATTAAGGTTTTCCTCGATGCCAACAATCTTTTTCCAAGTGATTTGTCTTTTTGCAAGTGCCACATGGAGGATATTTTCCTTGAATAGTTTTGGAGAAATTTCTAGAATTTTCCTTATTCCTAGAAAGTTCTCTATTAATTTTATTTCCTCCATTTTGAGACCGTAATTTTAGTTTTGATTGAAAGGCATTTTTGACTGAGTCTTCTTCACGCCTTTTCAATCTTTGTTCATATGTTTCAAGAGAGCCTATTAGTTGTCACTGATAATTTAGATAACTCTTTTGTTTGTTCAATTGCAGTTGCAATTGCATCATATTTTTGGGGAATACAAATTAGAATTTTCTCAACAATTTTCTTGTCAAGAATATTTTCCCCATAAGCTCTCATCTGACTAACTATTTCTTTTATTCTAGAATAATAATATTTTATGGTCTCAGATTCATTCATTCTTATTAACTCAAATTCTCTTCTTAGTGAATGGAGTTTAATATTGCGTACCTCATCGCTTCCTTGAAACTCCTCCTGAATTGTATTCCAAGCTTCCTTTGCACTTGTAGCACCCATTATTCTTGGAAAAATAGTGTCATCAACTGCTTGCCGAAGAGTGAATAATGTCCTTGAATCCTTTTGTTTGTTTTCCTTCAGTTCCTTCCTCTGGGCAGCTGTAAGAGTTGAGATGTCTTTTGGAATAGTGAACCCATCTTCTATGACATCTCAAAGATCTTGAGAACAAAAAAATGTCCTCATTTTAACTCTTCAAAAATCATAATTTTCTTCCTTGAAAATAAGGACTGGAATGGATGATGTTTGGTTGGTAGTGGCCATAGGTTGGAATTTTTCTTTTGGAATTAATGTATAGTGGGATTGGGTTTTTTAAGGTAGTCGAAAAATTTTCTCTACGCCCAGTAGGTGACCGAACGTAGCTCTAGTACCACTGTTAGTATTTTAGGAAGGATAGGAAAGATGATTTGATGTTTAGTACTGAGATTAGTGTAGAAAATAGTTTTTAGAAAGAGGTGGACAAATAGGAGAAGATTTGTATGAGGGAAGATAGTAATTGATCTTAGAAGTGTTACAAGATATGTAAGAGCTTGTATTAGATTTTCCACTCACATTACATAAGTGGCATTGCCTATTTATAGGCTTGATCCACCATCTCCTAAATATTCTACATAATTCTAGATTTTCTACATAATTCTAGATTTTCTTAACTCTAGAATTATCTATCTTCTTCTTTCAAACATATCTAGAATCTTTTAAGGATTCTAGATATTACTCATATGGAATTCCTAATTTTAATAGCATCTAGGATTTTAATTTCTAGATATTTCTAGAATTTCTATCATCTTTCAACAATCTATATGATGTGATAATGACCCTGAATGAGTGTGATGTGATGTATTTATGTCTATGTGACTTGATAGTTGGCTTCTATAGGCGTGAGGTGATGTTTCCACTCTGGAATGGATTTGTGCAGCGTTAATATATTTAAAAATGTACATATATGTTGTTTTCTAACAAATTCAAATTTCATATGTTTATTTTGAATCACTAATTGACCTTGTGTGTCTTATGTGTTACTTTAAACTGCGATGATAATGTATTTACATGGACGCAAATAATGTAGGTGCAGTGAGGGTAGACTTGAAGTTGATAAGATTTCAATTGTTTTTATTAATTCTACTTTTGTTATGTTTTAAATGTTTGTAAGAAATTTTCTATGAGAAAGAAGTTTATATTTTGAAATAATTTGTTCATGTAAATTATATAAATACTTATGATATGTATTTTGGGGATGTTACATTATGATATAAGAGCAAATGTCGTTGGTTGACTATATGGTTAACCTTGTGTTTTGTAACTATTAATCTTGTTGTGATGTTTTTAAGAATTTAACTTTGATTGTTTCTAATTTTCTTTATTAACATGTGTTCTTGGGTTGTGATATTATACATTATGAATATGAAATAAGGTGTGTTGAGTGTTATTATATGCATAGAAAAAATATTTTGTTGTAATATAAAAACTACTATGAGATATTCATATATAAAAACTGAGATATATCTGTGATGAATTATAAAATGATATGGTGTTGCGTGTTTTTAATACGAAGATATATCTGTTGTATGGGAAGAAGTATTGGACTCCTCTATGCTAGTATAAAAGCCAATTTCAAGGAGCTCACTTCAAGGATTCAGGTTATGGATGGATTTCACGTGTTTAAGGGACTCGAACCTTACAAGACCAATGACTTCTCTCAATTCCACCTTGAAGGCTCTTCATGATTAAGGTCAAGGCTTCCTAATGCACTATCACTCATTGCAAGCCGAGAGTAGGACATCACCTCATCTTGCCTAAACTGAATCAATTTTGGAATAGTACAATTCAATCTTTCAGGAGCCATAACATTTACTACCACATAGGAAGCACTACCACGCAATTCTATTCAAGGAAGGATCTCAAATTGCCAACATCCAACCATCCAGGTACCCCACTAGAAGAATGAAATTGAAAGGTTGGTGGATGATATACTTAAATCAAGTATAATCCCGACCTAGTATTAGTCCACATTCCTATCATATTAGTGAGGAAGAAAGATTGCATGTAGCACTTTTGTGTGGATTATAGGACTCTTAACAAGATCATTATACTAGATAAATTTCCTGTTACTATCATTGATGAGTTGATTAATGAGTTGGGCGGAGCCATGACTCTCTCTAAGTTAACTAAGTTGGATTTAAGATCTGGTTACCATCAAATCAGGATTGAGAATGAGGACGTTCATAAGAAAACTTTTAGAACTCATGACGGACATTATGAGTTTGTTGTCATGCCCTTCGGACTCACAAATTCTCTTTTCAGTTTTCAATCTCTCATAAATGAGGTACTAAAGTCGTTTTTGAGGAAATTCATTTTAGTTTTCTTTGATAATATTCTGATTTATAGTAGGATTGAGGAGGAACATCATCAATTAGGGTTGTGTAGGCATTATTGAAGGAGAACACATTGTTTGCCAATAAGAAGAAATGTAATTTCAGTTAACATTAGTTGGAGTACTTGGGCCATATTATTTCCAAACAGGGAGTAGTAACAAATCCCTGAAAAGTTGAAGTTATGTTGTATTGGCAAATACAAAAAGTTATGCGCAGCCGTATGTCACTACTTGTGAGACATGTCAAAGAAACAAATATCAAGCTTTATCCCCGGCTAGGCTTCTTCAACCTCTTCCTATTCCAACTTAAGTGTGGGCTAATATTTCCATGGATTTCATTGAAAGACTTCTTAAGGCTCACAAAAAGGATGTCATCTTGGTGGTGGTTGATAGGATGACTAAGTATGCTCATTTGCACTCAGCCATCCTTTTACTACCAAAGAGGTTGCTGAACTTTTTGTCACTAAAATAGTTAAACTGAACGGTTTTCCCTCCACTATTGTCACAGATCACAATAAATTTTTTCTCAACCATTTCTAGCCTGAATTATTCAAAGCAACAGACATCAAACTCAAGTTTATTTCAGCTTACCATCCCTAAACTGATGGTCAAACAAAGGTGGTCAACCAGTGTTTGGAGACTTATCTTAGGTGCTCACTGGCACTCAACCAAAGCAATGGCCTGAGTGGCTGAGTTGGTTTGAGTTCTGGTTCAATACTAACTGCAACAACTCTCTAAAATTGACTCCTTTCAAGACATTATATGGAAGAGACCCACCGCATCTCCTCAAGGCTGCCACCATTCCATTGGCTGTTGAGGAGGTGAACATGATAATCCATGATAGAGATCAAATGTTGCAAGATCTCAAGGAGAACTTGGCCAAAGCACAAAATCAGATGAAGTATGCTGACCAATCAAGGCGCTATTTACCCTTGGCAATTGGCAACTGGGTGTATCTTAAGTTACAGCCTTATCGAATACGATCCTTTGCTAGGAAGCCAAATGAGAAACTAAGTTCTTGAGATCACAAAACAGAGTGGAACAGTTGCTTTCTCTAGAAAAATAGATTAACTGAAATATGATTTATTTTATTATTTCAATACAAAGAGATGATATAAGATATATACAAGAGACCTAAACTATTTTAGGAAATATAATAACTCTATTTTATGCTAGGATCCTTTGATTTATGGGATTGTTCCTAATTATTCAAATCTAGTGCAGATTACAAGGAAATATACAAATTTCCTTATTTATTCTTTCCTAAAATACTATTTGATTTCTCACACTCCCCCTCAAGCTGGTGAATAGATGTTTTCCATTCCCAGCTTGGATACAATCTTCTCAAAATTATGGCAACCCAGTCCCTTGGTAAGAATGTCTGCAATTTGGTCTTGAGAGGACACATATGGAGTGCATATCAAGCCACTATCAAGCTTTTCTTTGATGAAGTGTCTGTCTACTTCAATATGCTTTGTTCTATCATGCTTGCACTTGGGTTGTGGGCTATACTGATTGCTGACTTATTATCACAATAGAGTTTCATAGGTTCTTCCCACTTTATCCTCAAGTCTTCTAAGATGATTTTAAGCCATAGCAACTCACATATACCTTGTGCCATGGCTCGGAATTACTGCTCGACCATTGGATCGAGCCACTACACCCTGTTTTTTGCTTCTCCAAGTCACAAGATTTCCTCCAAGAAAGGTGCAATATCTTGTAGTTGACCTCCTATCCACAATTGACCACTGCATAATCGGCATCGGTATAGGCTTCAAGTTTCACATTACCATTCCTTTTGAATAGAATCCCTTTTCCTGGAGTTCCTTTAAGGTACTTGTAAAATTCGATGGGCGGCTTGTAAATGGGTCTCCTTTGGGCTATGCATAAATTGGCTAATTAAACTCACTTGCATAGGCAATATCCGGCCTGGTATGTGACAAATATATAAGTCTGCCCATTAATCTTTGGTACATATCTTTTTCAACGAGCAACATCTTCTTCCGCATTTTCAAGCTTTAGGTTTGGTTCTAATGGGGTACTAGCGGGTTTGCAAGCTGCCTTGCTAGTTTCCTTGAGCAAATCGGTGATGTATTTACTGCTGAGATATAAATATCCCTTTCTCGGAGTGGGCAACTTCAATTCCCAAAAAATATTTTAGTTTTCCCAAAGTCTTGATCTCAAATTCCTTGCCTAAGCATTGACTCAATAATTGTTGCTCTTCTTTATTATCTCCGAGTTAATATTATGTCATGCACATACACCAATAATATTGTTACTCCCCCGACTTGGAATGTTTAAAAAACAAAGTATGGTCCCCTTGGCTTTGTTTGTAACCTGGACTTGTCATAACTTTAGTAAACCTGTCAAACCATGCACGGGGACTTGTTTTAACCCATATAATGCCTTTTTCAACTTGCAAACAGTGTTGGTAGCAACATCTTTACCATATCCCGGAGATATCTCCATATAGATTTCTTCTTCAAGGTCTCCATGTAGGAAAGCATTCTTAACATCAAATTGTTCCAAGTTCCAACCATAATTGGCAGCAAGGGACAATATCACCCTAACTGTGTTCATTTTGGCAACCGGAACAAAGGTCTCCAAATAATCAACTCCATAGGTTTGGGTGAACCCTTTGGCAACTAGTCTTGCCTTATATCTCTCAATTGATCCATCGGCCTTGTATTTCATTGTATAGACCCATTTACATCCAAGCTGGCCTCTTTCCTATTGGTAAGGTGACTAACTCCCAAGTGTTGTTTTTCTCCAATGCCTCCATCTCTTCATCCATGGCTTGCCTCCATTTTACGTCAGACAATGCCTCGGATAGGGTATTAGGTAGAAGTACGGTGTTTAGGTTTACTAGGAAAGTTTTATGGGTAGGAGAGAAATTTTTAAAGGACAGGTAATTTGAGAGAGGGTAGAATGGCTGTTTGGTGCATTTTCTTGTTCCTTTTCTAATGGCAATTGAGAGGTCGGGATCATTTTGGGTTTCAATTTCAACTCTGCACAGTTGGAGAAAAAATTGTTACCTCTTTTTGTGGAGTCGAGTTGGATTCTTGAACATGGCTTGATCCTGGAATGGCCTTAGTCTTCCTTGAGTACACCAGACTTCTTACCAAATTTTCCAGTTTCAACATCTTCTTGATCAGCTTCACAATTAATTTCACTTTCTTGACCAACTTCCTTTGCTTTACCAATTCCTTGACTTGTTTCATTTGTTACAACTTCAATTTGATCTTCAATTTGATCTTGTTTAGGTTCAAATATCAAGTCCGGAAGAATGGGAAAACCAGAATTACTACTTTCAATATGATTTCGTTTAGGTTCAAATGTCAAGTCCGGAAGAATGGGAAAACCAGAATCACTACTTTCCTTATCTTCCACGAAACTCTCCCCTTGAAGATAAGGTTGATGGAAATAGCCCTCTTGTTCATTGAAGGTAACATCCCTAGACACAAAGAATTTTTTGGATGGGGGGTGGTAGCATTTATACCCTTTTTGAGTGGGTGAATAACCAACAAAGACACACTTTAAGGCTCTAGGATCAAGTTTTCCCCATGTCGTACTATGAATATGGACATATGAGATGCACCCAAAAACTCTTGGTTTAAGATTATTTGTAGTAGACAAGTTTGGATAGAAAGACGACAAAACTTCCATAGGGCTTTTTGATCCTAAGACTCTAGAGGGTAGTCTATTGATAAGGTATGTTGTCTGTAAGGACAGACTTCCCCCAAAAATTTTTTGGGACACTTTTTTGGAACAACAATGCCCGAGTCTGATTTAATAGATGTCCATTTTTCCTCTCTGCGACCCCATTCTGTTGTGGTGTTTTGACACAAGAGGACTCATGAATTATACCTTCTTTTTGACAAAAAGAATTAAGGACATGATTGAAGTAATCTTTGGCATTATCGACCTAAGCCTCTTAATATTAACACCAAACTGATTTTTTATCATGGAGTGGAAGTTTAGGAAGACGAAGCCGACTTCGATTTTTGTTTAAGTAGGAAAACCCAAGTGACCCTTGTACGGTCATCTATAAAGGTGACAAACCATCGAGTACCGAGACACATTTGGAATATTAGAAGGTCCCCATACATCGGTATGAACAAGATAAAAAGAGAAATTGCTAATTCTATTACTTATTGGAAAAGATATACGTTTGTACTTAGCAAGTTCACACACCTCACAATGAAGACTCTCAACATCTAACTTGGTAAACAGAGAGGGAAATATAATTTTGATCACTCCAAAAGAGGGATGTCCCAACCGACAATGATAAATCATGATTTTTTCTCTGTTGGTCATTAAGGATTCAGATATGAAGGAGTGAGAGATTCTATTCTTGCTGGGCAGACTTGGATCTTCGAGATAATAAAGGTCATTCCATTCTCTAGAATGTCCAAACATCCTCCCAGAATCCTTATCCCGAAATACACAATGATCATTGGAAAAAACAACTTTACATGACAAATCCTTTATAAGTTTTTGTATAGACACTAGGTTCGTGGACAACTTTGGGACATGGAGAACGTCTTTTAAGGTTATTAAAGGATTGATTTGGATATTTCCTTGACCAACTTGCAGTTATAAGGGTTCCATCTGCTTGTGGCAATTTTCTTGTTGGTGGGACATGGGAAATATGTGGAGAAGTGTTTGGCTAATGGTGTCATGTGATCTGTAGCTCCGAGTCCAATATCCAATAATGGTTAAAAGGCGTATCCGAGACATTTAATCCAAAAGAAGGTGGAAACTTACCCGAGTATGCCAAAGAACACATACCTGTAGGTTTTTCCAGACTTACTAAGAATGGTTTTCACCCTTTCTATCTCCTCTTCCCTTGACATTATAGCAAAAGGTGCGATGCAACAACAATGCAGGTCGTCGTCTTAGGATTATGAAAAATGCAGGCAGCAATGCAGTCTGTTGTCTTAGGATTAAGAAAAATGCAGCGAGCAATGTAGACTGCAGTCTTAGGGTTAAGAAAAATGCAGCAGCAATGCGAGTCGCCGTCTTAGGATTACAAAATATGCAGCGAGCAATGTAGGCTGCCGTCTTAGGGTTTATCGAGCGCAGACATGAGCTTCCTAGATCGGAAGCTCGATACCATCTGGAAAAATAGATTAACCGAAATATGATTTATTTTATTATTTCAATACAAAGAGATGATATAAGATATATACAAGAGACCTAAACTATTTTAGGAAATATAATAACTCTATTTTATGCTAGGATCCCTTGATTTATGGGATTGTTCCTAATTATTCAAATCTGTACGGATTACAAGGAAATATACAAATTTTCTTATTTATTCTTTCCTAAAATACTATTTGATTTCTCACACTTTCCAACTAACCCTTCCACCAGAAAGTAAGATTCACCCCATGTTCCATGTTTCAATACTGAAGAACGCTCTAGCGCCCTCCACAATGACTCAACCTCTACCACATATGTTATTTGAAAACTTGGAATTACAAGTCACCCCAGCTATTGTGAAAGCCCTGCACAACTCACCCAATGGGACTTTAGAGGTGCTCATTCAATGGATTGATCTGCCAGAATTTAAAGCCACTTGAGAATCAGTGGAGACCATCATGCACCAGTTTCCTTCTTTTCACCTTGAGGACAAAGTGACTCTTTTGGGGGGAGTATTGTTAGACCTCTTATAAGTAAACATTATAAGAGGAGAAACCATAAATAGGGTTCTGCAGTAAATAGGACAGTTATTAGTAGTTTTTGAAAGTTTTTTAACCATTTTAGCAATTTTAATGGGGGCAAACATAACTGTCATTAGGCAGTTCCGGCTGTCAATAGAAAATAAGGAAGGGTAGGAGAAAAGGAGGGGAGGAAAAGAAAAAAGAAATCTGGGAAAAGGAAAGACCAAGCTCTTGGTAACTTGTAGGGTCTAATGTTTATGATGTTCATGGTATTGTACTGGGCATGTAGGCAGCTAAAGCATTTAGGATGAATTTATGCAAGAAAAATAAAAGGGAAGGGAGATTCTCTTTTCAAAACCCTGTAAGGAAGTTATATTCTTTGTATAATTGATCCTTCAAATTTGGAATGTAAAATAGGAAAAACTAAAAGATTTTTGCTTAGTGAAACTAATATTATTCTATAGTATTGACATACCATGCTCCCATAAATGCTCAGTTGCATTGCCCTTGCAGACAAACTACTGGTTTGTTGCTCAACCCCTTCAGATCTCTGCTCATGATTCTTGTGTTTGTAGAAATGTTCGGGCCAACTCATAAGACCACTATGATTTCGACCAAAAGATCTATGAGGATGATCCCCAACATGTGATAACAGTGAACTGGACCTTCTAAGAAGAGAAGCATCAGCTTCAGATGCTGGAATGTCAAAAAGAATTACCCTTGCTGTAGTTTCAACTAGGTAAAAAGATCCTTGATGAGTAAAACTAGCTCCCTTGGAACCTGGATCAATTGAAAGTAAAAGTTTAATCAAAATCCTTTTCGTCCAGAATCAAACTTTACAGTTTTTCAGAAGGGCACTGAAACAGAAAAAGAGGGAGTAGGGAACATAATAGTAACTAGCCCAGGAAAAGGTATAATGACCAAATTATAAATACATATTACAGGATGAAATGCTAGCACAAACAAATTAACAAAGTTGAGAGCTACAAAATAAAACTATTATTGGGCCAGGGAATCCAGTTGAATTTATGCTTCTAAAAGATTCGGTCCTTAACGTACTACATCTTCTACCACTAACTGACAAGAGGTTGATCCTTGTGTTTTCAATTCTCAAAATTAAAAGGGATAATGACCAGGCTTTAAGCCCAAATGGTTCTTGCAATAAGTGTGTTATTGGTATCAACTAAATCATTATTATGCCTTCACCTAAAAGTTCAAGCTCCTAAAAGGGGTTGTTCTTAGTGTATACCAAAATAGAGAAAGCAGAAAATGTAAAAGAAAAATAATGATTAATTATATAAAAATTAAAATTAAAATTAAAAAACTACCATGCCTGTATGTTCTAAAGTAATTTTTTCTCTCAATTAGCAATTAGCAATTAGCAATTAGCAAACCATCACTACTCTGAATGCTTATGTGATGGGAAGGGTATAACCATGATCAGAAAATCAATAAAAGCAGAAAAGTAGCATCTTCTTAGATAAACATAGATTTCGCATCCATCCTACTTATGGTATGTGCACTTGGATTCTGCCTCCATGTGCCTCAAACCATGTAAAATTTCCTTGTCCACTAACTGTCCGTCCAATTGAAGATGAAGTGAAGTATTTGACACAAAATATTTTACAGACAGCTTTAACTTGAGATAAAATACCTGAACCTGCCAAATTTTGGAAGCTTAGATTCCCGGGTGAAGGCAGCAGAGCTGCTGGTGCTGTTAACAGTTCTTGACGACCTTGTATTTTGACATACCCTTCTAGTAAGAGGGCAACTGAATGATGAGGGATTTCTATTGTTTCCCCTCTTATGAATATGGTCATCCGAGATTTCTCTGGATCTGCAATAAGAGCTCTTAAATCTTGCATAGCCAGTTTCTCAAATATCTGAGGAAGCAATAGTTTGGAAAGGAAAATAGCACTTTCCTGAAAATCAAGATAAACATAGTGTATGACTATGACCAAAACTCTCATATTCATTATAATTGAAACTAATAATACATCATTCACCATTTTCAATGTCATCAACTGCACCAAACATTTTTTTTTAATATCTCTAAGGACAACGATATCCTCAATAAACAGCATATCGTAAAAAGTACTGTTGAAAGTCCCACATCGCCTACCTCATATCATTTGGTATGGTTTAAATACATGTTAGGCTACTCCACATATGGCCAATTGGTTTTATGTTGGAACCTTAACATGGTATCAGAGCCAAAGCCTAACATCTTTCCGGTTATTGTCAAGGGCCAAAAAGTTGCCCTTTAGTTGGGTCAAAAGTACCCTTTGCCTGGTCCGGCAGGCCTGATTGGAGGGGGTGTGTTGAAAGTCCCACATCGCCTACCTCATATCATTTGGTATGGTTTAAATACATGTTAGGCTACTCCACATATGGCCAATTGGTTTTATGTTGGAACCTTAACAAGTACATCTTTGAAACTGAAAAACTGAATCTCCGATGAGCTGAAGGGACTTAATGAAATTAATACACAATGCTTGCTGGAATTTCAGAATGTAGTTACATAAGCTTTTTCTGGTAGTTCTTTAGTTCCTTGGAAGTTAAGAAATAAATGGAATAGCAGTTTAGATTTTCACACATTTTTAGGGAGGGAAGTAAGTGTGTGAATAGTTTAGCTATTTTCACTTGGTGGATGGAGTGCCTTGTTGTATTGTCTCTGATTTTTGTAGAGATAGATGTGGTCTCCCACATTTTAGACTCTATGTGGGTTTTGGTTTGGTCCCTCCCCTTTTGTATTTTTTTTTTTAATTGTATTACGAATGCTGTATGATCGGCACATATTGTAATGCTAACCTGGTTAGGAATGCAACCTGTATACTCATGTAATAACATTCTTTCCTTTTGATTAAAACAGAAGCCATTAATGTCAAAGCAGCAATTGCAATAATGAACTATTAATGTAATGATACCTCCCAAAGGAATTTTTCTGTTGAAGGATCTGATTTGAGACATGATCTTATCTTATCAGCTTCAAGAAAAATGCAGAATACCACGGAATCTGTGATAATATCACAGATATATGGTCTTCCGGTCAGCACTTCATAAAGACCCAATGTACTCCCATGCGTAAAAGTAGGATAAAAAGAGTGTTTGGTTCTTGTCATCTTGCTTTCCCACTAGAAAAACAACAATTTTCAACAGACGCAAAATTGTGTGCACAATCAGAGATACGATAAGCTTCATACTGAGAGAATTTAATACCTTCACCACTCCATTAGAAATTAACCAAATACCATTTGACTTTGCACCTTCTTTGTAAAGTGTCAAACCTCGCAATTTCATGATTTCCTTGGTACAGTTTGTAAGTGATTCACGAACTGAAGGTGGGAGAGCACCTAACATCGGATGTATACTACTTATTTTAGGAAGCTTAACCAGAGGAGGATTTCTAAGTAATTTCTTCAAATCAGTCTGAAAAATTAAGGGGTTAATAAGTAGGTGAGCACCCAACTATACTTCATAAAAGAGCAAACCATCAGATTATAGATAAAAAGAAAAAAAATGAATATCACAAGATACCTGGACAGCATCATGGAGTTGTAGCATCTCTTTCGTTTCCAATATCCCAGTCTTCTCAAGGTTTTGGACATATTCAATTAAATTATTTAGCACTGCATATGTAGCTTGCCTTGTTTTCACAACACGCAAAACCTGAGAATTCGACATTCAGAATATAAATAAAGAATATTTGAGAAAAAGAACACATTTCAACACCATAACCACAAAAAGATGCACAACAAACTGATTAACAGATAAAAGACCAATCAATTTGACACTGACAGGCTGAAACCATGTAGTGTCCATTAAAGCAAAATTAGAAAATAATGGAGGTCATGTTTAACTATCAAACCTGAGGGTATGTTACATTAACATCTTCTAGGAACTTCCGTGCTTCTTCTCCTTCTACAACACTTTCATTGATGACAGCAGAAGCAACACCACTGTTACCTATATGCAAAGGAAGTAAATATAAATGATCCTAGTGTAATTAAGAATAAGTTATCTGATCAACATAAAAGTTTAAGAAAGAAACAAGTAAGTTAGGATAAAATTAATAATTGGTTGAAGAACGTTTCTTTGATAGTTAGAAAGTTTTTGAACGTTTAGAAAATGATGTTATTGAGGACCATTATTGTGGAACGTTTTAGATTCTAGGGTGTTGAATATAGGGAAAAACTGTATAGGGTTAATTTCCCTTATGTATTTACCACACATAGGGCAGTGTATTTATAATAAAGAAAGGTACTCCTCAAAAGAGTAACAGAATACAAATAGAGTAAATAAAAAGATATTATTTGATATTGTGATTAACAATATCTAACAATATCTCAACAATATCAAACAATATCAACTAATATCTAATCATATCTAACACTCCCCCTCAAGCTGGAGCATACAAATCGTATGTGCCAAGCTTGGTACAAAGATAATCCATCCTAGGTCCCCGTAAAGACTTAGTGAAAATATATGCTAATTGATCACATGAGTTAACGAACTCAGTCTTGATGTCTCCAGACATAATCTTTTCCCGAATAAAATGGCAGTCAATCTCAATGTGTTTAGTCCTCTCATGAAAGACAGGATTAGAGCTTATATGGAGAGCAGTCTGATTGTCACACACTAGTGTCATTTGAGTGACATCTCCAAATTGTAGCTCTTTAAGCAATTGCTTGAGCCAAATAAGTTCACAGGTAGCTGAGGCCATAGCTCTATACTCTGCTTCTGCACTGGATCTTGCCACAACACTTTGTTTCTTACTGTTAAGGTTCCAACATAAAACCAATTGGCAATATGTGGAGTAGCCTAACATGTATTTAAACCATACCAAATGATATGAGGTAGGCGATGTGGGACTTTCAACACACCCCCTCCAACGAAGCCTGCCGGACCAGGCAAAGGGTACTTTTGACCCAACTAAAGGACAACTTTTGGCCCATGACAATAACCGGAAAGATGTTAGGCTTTGGCTCTGATACCATGTTAAGGTTCCAACATAAAACCAATTGGCAATATGTGGAGTAGCCTAACATGTATTTAAACCATACCAAATGATATGAGGTAGGCGATGTGGGACTTTCAACACTTACTTTTCCATGAGATCAAGTTACCACCAATGGAAACACAATACCCAGATGTAGATCTTCTATCAGAGGGAGATCCTGCCCAATCAGCATCCGAATAGCAGACAACTCTTGTATGATTATGGGAGTCATACACCAAACCTTTTCCAGGAGACTTTTTGATGTACTTCAATATACGGATGACTGCATTCCAATGATCTTGACAAGGAGAATTGAGGAATTGACTCACCATACTGATCGCAAAGGAAATGTCGAGGCGAGTAATCGAAAGATAATTTAATTTTCCAACTAATCTTCTATACTTGTTCGGGATCCGACATTGGCTCCCCCGATTTGGCAAGAGTTTGGTATTAGGATCCATGGGTGTGTCAACGAGCTTTGAATTCATCAACCCAGTTTCCTCCAAAATATCCAATGCATACTTTCTTTGAGATATAACAATGCCATCGGTAGATTGTGCTACCTCAATACCCAAGAAATATCCGAGTTTGCCAAGATCTTTGGTTTGAAAATGGTGGCAAAGGTGTTGTTTCATCCGAGAGATGCCATGATGGTCACTACCTGTAAGAACAATGTCATCGACATACACTATCAAATAGATACATCCGACATTCGAGTGACGGTAAAAGACCGAGTGGTCCGCCTCACTTCTAGTCATGCCAAATTGTTGAACAACGTCGCTAAATTTTCCAAACCAGGCCCTAGGAGACTGTTTTAGGCCATATAAAGATTTGCGAAGACGACATACCAATCCAGAAGACTCCCCTTGAGCAACAAATCCGGAGGTTGCTCCATATAAATCTCTTCTTGCAAATCGCCATTCAAGAAAGCATTTTTGACATCCGAGTTGATAAAGAGGCCATTGTTGAATAGCGGCCATGGCAATGAATAAACGAACGAAGCCATCTTTGCTACTTGGAGAGAAAGTATCACCATAATCCAACCCAAAAATTTGGGTATAGCCTTTGGCTACAAGGCGAGCTTTGAGGCGATCAATAGTACCATCGGGACCAACCTTGATAGCGAAGACCCACCCGCAACCAACAACAGATTTTCCGGATGGTAATGGGACAAGCGTCCAGGTTCCACTAGTCCGAAGAGCACCGAGTTCATCTAGCATGGCCTGACGCCAACCAGGGTGGGCTAAGGCTTCGAGAGACGATTTAGGAATAGACACGGAAGAAATAGACGAGAGACAGGTATAAAATGGTGAAGAAATTCGATGATAACTTAAAGCGAGTATAATGTGGAGAAGGATTACGAGTAGAACGCGTACCTTTACGAAGGGCAATAGGAAGGTCGGACTACGTGGACGGAATCGGAGGAGGCGAGTATTTGGCACTGGGAGTGAGTCATGTGGCGTACTGTTGTGGGCGAGGTCTGCGACTATAAACCCGAAGGGGTGGTGGAGGAGGAAGGGCTAATGGTGGATGGTCCTCAACATAAGGATCAATGAGAACAGGAATGGGAACTGTAGCGAGATGGAGACTCAGCAGGTAGGGAAGGGTCCTTAAAGTAAAAGGAAAACTCATTGAAGGTGACATCGGCGAGACACAAAATAGCGATTAAGAGAAGGAGAAAAACACTTGTATCCTTTTTGGGATCGAGTAAATCCTAAGAAAACACATTTGTGTGATCGAGGAGATAACTTATCATGACCAGGATCAAAATTGTGGACAAAACAGGTAGACCCAAAAACCTTCGAGAGGTAAAGGATGGAGAGTGTCATGAGGAAATAAAATAGAATGGGGAATTTTGTTATCTAAAGCCGAAGAGGGCATACGATTAATAAGATAACGAGTGATAGAACGAGCATCACCCCAAAAATGTTGAGGAACCTCACCATGAATTAAAAGAGTACGGGTTGTTTCAATAAGGTGTCTATTCTTGCGCTCGACCACCCCATTTTGTTGAGGGGTATAAGCACAGGAAGTTTGATGAAGAATGCCATGAGAAGCCATAAATTGTTTAAACGAGTTTGAAAGATATTCACGGCCATTATCACTTCGAAAAGTTTGAATAGAGACACCAAATTGATTTTTAATTTCATGATAAAAGTTTTGGAATATAGAAAACAACTTCGAACGATTTTTCATTAAAAATAACCAAGTACAACGAGAGAAATCATCAATAAAAGTAACAAAATATTGAAAACCTAAATTAGACTTAACACGACTGGGTCCCCAAATGTCGAGTGAACTAAGGCAAAGGGGGATGAAGCACGCTGGGAAACACTACGAGAAAAGGAAGTACGACTATCTTTGCCTAACCGACGGGACTCACACACCAAATTGGACAAGCTGGGATAAGGCTGGGAACAAGTTGCTTGTAATTTGCGCAGACTGGGGTGACCAAGCCGAGCATGAAGGAGAGAAGGAGACTCCATAAGCTGTGCCAACATGTGGAGAAGGTTGAAGATAATAAAGTCCATGTGACTCACATCCGGTGGCAATCACTCTTTGCGAGCTCCGGTTCGTAGGGAAACGAAGTTTTGGTAAAAGAGATAACACAATCAAGAGATCGAGTTAGACGGCTAATGGATAATAAGTTAAAGGGGGACCGGGTACATACAAAACATTATCAATGGACAACGAGGGAAAAGAGTAACCGTTCCAACACCATGAGCTAAAGTTGTAGACCCATTAGCCATTGTAACGAGAGGGTAAATTATGAGAAGAAGTGAAAGAGGAAAATAAGGATTTGTTACCGGTGATGTGATCGGTGGCGCCTGAGTCAAGAACCCAAGGGCCAATAGAAGAAGAGTGAGTCGGACCGACAAAAGATGTACCTGTGTGGGCAATGAAGTAGTGGAACTAGAGGGCTTTCGATCCTCATACCATTGAAGAAAATCATTGAAGATAGCATATTTGTCTGAAGGTACAGACGAAGGAGGATCCACAGCAGAGGATTGTGCGGAAGAATCGATCCGAGCAAGCTGCAGCAGATCGGCGAGGATAACCATGTAAAGCATAACATTTGTCAATTTTGTGGCCTAGTTTGCCACAATGGTCACACTTGACACGCCCTTTGCCTGGCTTGTGAGAGCGATTACGATCATCACGGTGAGAGGCCAAGGCAGATGAATCATTAGAAACTACGTGGGGAAGATTGAGAGGTTTACATGGCACCCGCAAAGGGAGGAACTGGTAGCGGTAAACTGGGTGTAACGGGGAACCCAAAATGCGGTCACGAACAGGGGCATATTTATCGGCAAGTCCGTGTAACATCAAAACCATGAAAAACTTTGATCGTTGCTCTAATTCTTGGGCAGGAGTCGAGGCGGGGGTAATAACTCATTAAATTCATGGAGAAGAGCATGGATCTTACCCACATAATCCGCCACAGGATCCTTATCTCGAGGAGCAATAACATCAAGAAGATTGTAACAAACACCATAAAGACGTTGAGTGTCATTGGTGTATAATAATTTGGCTTGTTCCCAAACGTCATAACATGTGCCATACGATCGAAAAATTTGTTTTAAAGAAGATTGGATGGTATTCTTGAGAACCATACATATATGAGCATCAACTTTCTTCCAACGGACATGATCATTGGAAGGAACATCATCTACCTTGGTAGTAAGATGATCAACATACCCCCGACTCTCAAGCCAAAGTCTAATATCGGATGCCCAAGTTGCATAATTCGTACCATCTAATTTATCAATGGGTAAATTCACATTGACATAATTAGTAAAAACAGATTGCTCGAGACCCACCGGAGTCGACGAGAGGTAACTTCGAATTGGAAGTGGCAGCGGAAGATGCCATGGAGGAAGAGAGAGAAAAACCCTAAAACACCAAAGAGGTCCGATTGGAGCGGCGAGGACAGATCCGAGAGAGAGGAGAAGGAGGCGACGCCGCGCAAAGATCGGCGGCCCGAACGGCGGCGAGACGCGCCGCCACGCGCGGCGGAACGGGAGAAGGTGGCACGGCTTCGGAGGCGCGTGAGGGAGCGTGGCCGCTCCGATGACCGCGAAACTTCCACGGTGGAGGTCGCACGGGGAGGCGAGCAAAACCCCGTGCTCGGCGGTCCGAACTCGCTACTCGGCGACGGCAGTGGCGGCGACGGCGGACGGCGGTGGCGACAGCGGCGGCGATGGAGGCGGCGACAGCTGCGAGTTCGATGGCGTAGCCGAAAAAATCCCAAGAGACCTTAAGCTCTTGATACCATGTTGAATATAGGGAAAAACTCGTATAGGGTTAATTTCCCTTATGTATTTACCACACATAGGGCGAGTGTATTTATAATAAAGAAAGGTACTCCTCAAAAGAGTAACAGAATACAAATAGAGTAAATAAAAAGATATTATTTGATATTGTGATTAACAATATCTAACAATATCTCAATAATATCAAACAATATCAACTAATATCTAATCATATCTAACATAGGGAGTTAATATTATGGTTTAGAGAGTACTTGGGAAGTGTTTAAATAAAGCATTGTAATTCTCTTTTCAATATAACAAAGTATCAATACAAAGAGAGTTATAGAAAGGCTTTGTTATCAAATTGGTATCAAGAGCTTGGGTTTTGGGTTGTTTTTTAGAAGAGTTAGGGTTCTTCAGAAGAGTGAGAGTTAGGGTTTGAGTGTCAAAAGAAGAGTGTGAATGGCTGCTCTAGCGAGTGCTGCTATAGTTGTGTCCCAACTAACTAAGGACATCAACTATAATAAATGGAGTGTCCAGGTAAAAACTCTCCTCAAAGCCCAAGATAGTTGGCAGATGGTGGAGGAAGGTTTTGAACAACCAGAGACCACGGAAGAATTGACAGTAAATGAATTCAGGGAATTAGAGAAAAAAACATGAGAAAGACAGTGCAACTTTGTTTTTGTTATTTCGAGCTGTAGAATATTTTGACTTTGAGAAGATTGTAAGAGCTATAACGGCATCCGAAGCGTGAGACGTGTTGAAGAAGGGGCACAAGAAAGATGACCAAGTCACACGATGAAGGGGTCAAAATAATTTTCCGAATATGTCCTACGTGTTGAAAACGTGGCAAAACAGCTTAATCAAAATTTAAGAGGTATTTTTCATAGAACAGATCATTGAAAAGATCTTGAGGTCATTAACAAAATCCTTTAACAACGTGGTGTGTGCGACAAAACAAACGAAGGACTTGTTCGAGCTTTCAAGAAAAGAATTGATCGAATCTCTTAAACACTGAATGGAGAAAGATAAGGAGGATGAAGACACAAGTATGAAACTGCTCCAGGCCGAGGAGAAGGCGTTTTATTCTCAAACTAATAGAGGACGAGAACGTAGTGGTCGTTCTCGAGTGGATTCGGTGGCCGAGGTGACGAGAAGGAAGAAAAAGCACAACAAAGTTGGCGAGGACATGGACCAAGAAGAGGTCAGTCAACGAACTACTCAAACATCAAGTGCTTCAAATGTGGCAAGTATGACCACTATGCGAAGGATTGTTACTCGGGCAAGTGTTATAGTTGTGGTGAGATTGGACACTTTGCAAAAGAATGCCAGAAGATGGGTGAGATCTATCTCACAGAAGGGCAAGAAGAACCAACTCTCATGATGACCAATCTACATTTAGTCATTCACTTGGGAGTTGATTACAGTGATAAAGTTCGGGAAGATACCGATCACAAGTCGATATAGTATCTAGATACAGGTGCAAGTAATGTGTGGGGACGAGCACCTATTTAGCAAATTGGAGAAATATGAGGGTGATCATGTGTCTTTTGGAGATGGCTCAAAAGTCTCGGTAAAAGGCCGAGGTACTTTTTGTTTCTTGTAGAAGGATGGCCTAGTAGGGTCGATCCAAATTGTGTTTTATGTTCCAAATCTAAAGAGTAATCTTTTGAGTGTGAGACAACTAATGGAGAGAGGATATTCGGTTTTCATGAAAGACCAAGTACTACAATTGAAGGACAAGTTTGGAAGGTTGATTGCCCGAGTAAAGATGGGTAAGAATAAAATGTACAAGTTGCAGCTGAGAAGCATTTGGGAGAGGAGCCCAAGATCAAATGTAGAGGACACGTTGAAGGAAAATTACCGATCTGGTCAAATGTATATTTGTGGTTAACCGAGTTGATTCATGATGATAATCATGATATTGTCTGAGTTGATGATGCAAGTGAAAGAGATCGAGTAGGGCGAGCTGATGTGCCACCAACTGTTATCAGATTGAAAGGAGAGAAAGAGATAGTGCGTGATGATAAATGGTCGAACATGAAGGGGAGAGTTTGTAGAGAAGAGATTGGTAAAAAGGTGAGTATCACACTTAAGAGAGTTTTCAGAGGAGTAGTCGGTAATAAGACAAGGACCCCACTTCAGAGAAATGTTAAAGAGAAGATCTGAGCTATTATGGATGAGAAAGGCTGAGTTAGAGAACACAATGACACTTTGTGATGACCAAATTATCGAGCTATGATCTGCCTATTGGCGTGAAGCAAGTATTTAAGAAAGATGAGAGATATGAGCAAGTTGTTGAAGTTAAGCAAGTGGATGTCAAGTTGGAACTTTTGGATGATGTGCTCAAGGAGAAGGTGAATGATAAACAACCACTCGGATACGTGAAGAAAGACAAGGAAGAGTCAGGATATGTTTTGTCCCAAGAGGGTATACAAAGGAGATTCTGAATAAGTTCAAGATTATCAATTGCAATTCGGTATCAACCCCCATTGAACCAGGGATGAAGAGGTCAAATAATTACCGACTAAACGGGTATTGAGACAGTGACTAGTGTGGAGATAAGGATGAAGGATGGAAGGAACTTAGAGTGCTCGGAAAGAAGAAGATGAGAAGTCGGCTAGTAAGAAGCTCGAAAGTTTGGAGCTCAGGATGTTTTGAAGTTCAAGATGTTTTAGAACTAAGCAAGTCAGGAGTCAAGAGGTCGGTATCAAGCCGATCTTATGTTTTGAAAGCTGAAGCCACGAGCTAGCAAATTAGGAGTTGGGAGGTCGGGGTAACACCGATCTCAAGTTTTTTTTAAATGCAGAGAATTAATTTTACGGGAGGTTTTGTTAAGATAAAATTAATAATTAGATGAAGAATATTTCTTCGGTGTTAAAACGTTTAGAAAGTGATGTTATTGAGGACCATTATTGTGGAATGTTTTAGATCATAGGGAGTTCATGTTGTGGTTTTTAAAGAGTAATTGGGAAGTGTTTAAATAGAGTATTGTAATTCTGTTTTCAATATAACAAAGTATCAATACAAAGAGAGTTACAGAAAGACTTTGTTATCAAGTAAAATAACTAGAAAATTGTGGAATGTGAGGACATAAAAATTGACATACAACACAAATTAAAAAAAAAAAAAAATTCTACATAAAATACAACATCATGAGCTAGGAAGCACTGAACCATTCATAAGTGGAAAACATTAAGTATCATTGGAGTATCTGAAAATGTACATATAACATCAAACTATGTTATTTTTAAATTTGACAGCTTTTGATACGCCTTGGGTAGGGCAGAAGTTGCCATGATATGACTTGGATATTCCAGCTAACATGTCATAGGCTTGATGGAACACCTAAGAGGACCTCAAACCAGACAGTTTATTTCAACTCCATAGTATGACAACCAATTTAAAACAGTTCAAAAATGAAACATACATATTACAGCTCTGCAAGGATTTAATAGCATTGACAAAGGGGATGGGGGCATAATGCTTTTAGACTCCCTTATTTCATTCAACCTACCACCCTCACACCTACTCCCCGTCACACTCCTCAACAAACTTCTGAAACTCTTCCTTGAATTACCGTCACATATAAAACCAATAATAACCTTTATCTAATAGCCTAAGAGGATAGGAGAAAATGTAGTTGACGTAGTATCACATACTCTAACGCTTCAAGCAAAAGTCGCCTTTATGCGAGGGGTGTGTTAAATATGAAACAAATCACTTGTTAAATATAGTGTAAGGGTCCACAAAAAGATGGAAAAGATATATAGAAAGAATGGTGCTAAGATTGAAAATAATATGAAAGAAAGAGGAGTACTAGGAACACATTCTCTAACACACTCTTCTATTGGTTAGATTTTATTGAAAACTACAAAATCATGATAGTCACTAAATATACTACAGGAGCCACATAACCTTTTTTATTTTCAATAAATTTTAATCAAGAGAATGTTTCTATCTCTTAAAAATTTAACACAGCTAGTAAGGACAAAAACATAAAATGGAAAAGATATGAAGTAAAAAGAAAGAAAATTTGAAAGATGGGAATAATAGTATTGGGTTAAATAGACAAATTAATGACGTAGACATGTACCTATGAAGTCATGTAATTGTTGTCGAGCAATTCTGTGAGCACGAAGAAATGCAGCACAAATATAACATGCAGATTCCAACCTTTCCACAGTGAAGTATGTTACTAATTTTGGTGGGAGCATACTGGACTGTAGAAACTTGTAGTAATTCGGGAAGTGGACGTTAGATTTTAAACCTTTCCAGTCACATAGAGGCTCAGATGAAGCCAAATCTATTGCTTCCTCTACAGATAACATTAGAATATTAGCTGTTGTTTGAGAAATTCTTCCTTCATCAAGCATCTCCCAGTAAGCAGCTTGTACACCTAATGAGTAATAAGTTTTCAAATTAGGCATGATATCGGTACAATCAAACAAGTCAAAATCATAGTAAAACATAGGAACTAGGCTCTTTAAAGGACATAGACAACGAGAGCCTACCACAAGATTAAGTTAATTAGAAACTATTTGTCTGTAAATGTGCATGCCAGTCAAAACTTTATTAACATAACAAAGAAACCTTTGTAAAGCACTTGCATATATATAAATTACCAGAAAATAATAGTAGCATCTTCTTAACTTAGGCCTTAAGGTGAACACACACAATCATCAATAATTGTATGTGCTATCACATCATAACAAACATAACAATAGCAACAGATAGTTTTATCCAGGTCAGCTACATGGATGATGAATCACACAATGTCATTAAGGACAGTTTAAAACAAAAATCTCATATTATTAGTCACCATGACATCTCTTCTATTATAATAATTTCCTCCAATGTCTTTCTTGATCTCCCTCCATCCCTTCTCACATGGTTAAAATGTCATATTTCATTTTAAAATCAATTGATATTAAGCAAAGTTTCCTAACATACACTACTAGATATTCTCATATTTCATGGGAATATTTTTGCAAATTTTTTATAAAAATTACAAGAAATAAGTTTCCTACAAATTTAAATAATTTTTTACAAGAAAAATTACAAATAATAATTAACTTCTAAGCAGTGATATATACAAGCCGCACTCTAACTATTGAGGCAGACGATGTAGGACTTGTCAACATTCCACCTCCACATATGCTTGCCAAATCACAAATCAAGTGAGCCTACTAGAAAAGGCAATTACCAATGGAACTATAAGCTCTATACCATGTCAAATTTCATCTTAAAATCAATTGGTATTTAACGAAGTTCTTAAAAAGATATATAAGTTATTCAAGAATTTAGACAAGTGATATCAAACTTTTCAACATAAAAACCATGTCATTTACAATGCTAATAACAAATAAATCCATCAAAATTGATGTTGACCACATGGAGGCTTTTATTGCAGAAATTGGTTGCTAGAAATTTAAATATTAACCGAAAGCTCTTTTCTAATAGGAAAAACGTCCAAGAATATTGATCAAGCTCTAACGCTAACCTTCACTTCAACTATATACATACCACAAAACTAAAAATAAGGAAGAAACACAATAACAACCACTAAAAACTTAATAGCAAGCAAATTACCTTAAACATTGAATTGAACAAGTTCCAAATAAATTTCTTACATAACAATGTGGAAAGCTGAATGTATAACAAACTTTAATTAGATTGAAAATGCTTCAAGCATAATACCAAAAAGATGTTAGTCCTTACAAATGCAACATGTCTTATGATTATGCATCTTTCTTTTACTTTTAACCTAAAAACTTAATGGAATATAAAAAATATATGATGTTTAAAGAAGTTAATCAAACAAAAAAGGCAAGGTATAGAGACGTAATGAGGTTTCTCCTATTGTAAAAGTTAAAAGGAATGTCAAAAATAATGAAATACCGTACAACATAAAGTTAAAAATCTAAGGACTAAAGTAAAATGTAAAGGTTCCATACCATTTAGAAGGCGTACTCGTATATCTTTCAAGTTCATAGGATCTAGATGACTATCATTTTCAGGTGCATCATGAGGGTGAACACGTTCACCTTCAATGTCATTTAGGCAAGAGATATATCTTTTCACTGTGGGCCAATCAGCAGGCCCAAGTTCCTCATCATCTCCTAGTTCACTGAAAGCTTCTAATGCCTTGTCCAACATTTCATGCTTTGTAAAGTCAAGGATGCGTCTCTGTAATTAAATGTGCAAAGGATGAAAATTAGACCAATAAGTCATAAACATGATACATAAGTGGTATAGAGATAATTTCCATTTGAAATCAATTTACAAGCATTTATACAATTTGGAAGTTGTTGAATTACAAGATGATATTTCTTATTTACAAGAAATATTATCAATTAGTGTAATCATTTTGTATGGACAAGAAAAGTCTTCGTTAATTATTATAATTATTACAAGGATGGTAGAGTTATCTATATATAGTACATTGTTGAATTGTTTGACTCAAGAAATAGAAGTAAAATTTTCTCTTTTTCACAATCTTTCCAATCTTTTTCCAATTGGTATCGGAGCTTCTGATATTGACTGCTTTGCTTCCGCATCAAACCCTAGTTGCCTTAGCGATTGCACCAAATTTGTATTTTGGGATTGCCTAAAGTGCTCCTAAGTTACTTGTCCCTATCTCAGTCATCACCGGCATCACTGTTATGTCGAAGTTCATATTTCGACTAACAACCACTCTAGAAGACTCCCTATCTCAGTCATTGTGTTATACCTAGATTACATCACTCACTTTTAATAAATACCTAGATTAAATCTCTCACTTTTAAATAAATTATTTTCTTTTACAAGGAAGATTTGGATCTGAGGTCAGATCCTTCTCAAGAGGGAGGGTCTGATGGAGGACCATTTGGGCCATCACACATTGGGCCTTAACACATTGGGCTTCAAATAAGGTCCAAAGTTGAAGGGACTGCACTTAAGGTTCAAGTCTTGGCTGCAACAAAAAGGGAATATATCATTTTAGCTTCTCAAATTCGTCCAAAGCACTCCAAACACCTAAAAAGATCCAAGGTTCAACTCTTGGTTGCAACATGTGAGAATTTTTTGGTATATAAACTCATAAATGTAACTAAAAGTGGTCTAGTTGGGAATTGAAGCTAGAAACTTCGGTCATCACTTGTATAGGGCAAAATTAGTCCCACATTCTTTAAGTGAGTGAGTGAATGAGAGGGGAACAACTATATGACCCCTTGTGTAGCTTTTTGAATCACATTTGGAAAGAAGTCAAAACTTGTGGGTGGAACTTGCATATTTTGCTTGTACCCCAAATTGACTTTTCAAGTGTTTTTGGAGATTTCTTTCTCCTATTCTTCTAACAAGGAACCTTCCTTGGAGGAGTTAGTACAAAATTTCTTTAGAAACTTGAGAAAGAATTTTGGTTCACCTTGGGTGCTTAAGGTGTGAGGTTTTTGGCATCATCCATGGTGGAAGGAGGGAGAATATTTCCATCAGGTCTTGCATCAAATACTAGTATATTCAATGCTAAATGATTGTCACATTTATCAATGATTGGACTCACACCACATGGATTTTCGTCATGGAAAAATAATTCTTAAGTTATTCTTTTATTTTGTAAAATTCTTATACATACACAATTTGGAAAATCTGTGTTTTGATAATTGGAGATAATACATAAATCATGACATGGCTACGTTTCTATCCGAAAATGGTAGTATATGTAAGCTCACATGTGTTGATACACCATAACAAAATGGTATTATTCATGTATTATCCTCTCGTGTTTTTTTATAGCCTTAATCTTATTAAATTTAAATCCTCTTTTGTTGCATTTGTTCTTTTATTATCTAGTCTTTGTGGTTGTGGTTTTTGGGTGTGTTGTATATGTCCACATTCATAGTCAGTTCAATAGGAAATTAGATCCTAGAGTTGTTAAATGCATATTCATTGGTTATGTGTTCGATAAAGGGAAATATAGTTGTTGCCATCTTTTAAGTTAGAAGACTTATACCTCTATGGATGTAACCTTTCATGAATCCATATTCTTTTACGACCATCTTCAACTTTAGGGGGAGAAATCTATTGAAGTTGATTCTTTTGAGTCAATTGAATCGATCTTTGTTCCTTTGGTTCATGAATCTTCATCTAATGATAATATAGGTGCAGACACTGGTTTATCTTGCAAGGATATTTTGGAGGTTGTTTTTTATGAGGACATTACTATGTTAGAGTCAAGATCAGCACTAGATATTAGTCGTCTAGAAGGTCTCTTCTTTATACAATATTAGAGGAGACTAACGAAACCTAACCACGTATAAGAACAACTCTAATCATTTGATCCAGAGACAAGTATTCATAATTCTGAAACTTTAGAAAACTCCTTACATAATAGTTGTAAGCCTAACCTTGATGAGGAAAACTAGATAAGGAAAGTGGTCTTATATCAAGTATCTAATTTCTCAATTTGTGTCCACTAAATACTTTTTTATGCAAAACTAGAGTTTTCTCTTTCCCATTGATATAGTCAAAATACCTATACTAGTTCAAGTGATATTAACAGATAAGAATTGGGTTCAAACCATGAGAGATCAGATGGGTGCCTTAAAAATAAATCAAACTTGAGAGATTGTTGATTGGTCACATAATAAGAAAGTTGTAGGATGTAGATGGATCTACACTTTGAAATATTGGTTTAATGAAACATTAGATGATTACAAAGTGAGGTTAGTTGCAAAAGGATCCACTTAGACTAGGAGATGTTTGCTACAGTTTGATGTGATAGGTTCTTTTCTACATGGAAATCTAGAGGAATAAGTCTACATGAACATATCCCCTAGATTTAGATCTATTGAAGAAAGGAATAAGGTATGTAGGTTGAAGAAAACCTTATATGGTATTCAGCAGATGCTAAGTTTCACACTATGACACAACGGATGTATGAATTGTTATGGTTGAAATAGGTTTGAATGATCTTAAAGGTAAATATAAAGACCCATCTCTCTCTATTGTGAAAAAATTTGGCTATTAGTATTGCTTACAATTCTATCTTACATGATATGATCAAGCATATAGAGATCGACTAGTACTTCATCAATTTATAGCTGCCTCCTAAATCCCATTAGGACTTTAGCTTGTTGAAAACAAAGGCCAAATTTATTATTTTGATGATAACAAATACGATTAAATTTTAAAGAATTTAAAATGTATGCTAAGTGTGTCACATAAAATAAATGTGCTTAGCAACAATTAAGAAACATTAGTCATGGTGCTTGAACAATGGTTGCTCACGACACGTGATAAGAGAAAGATCTATGTTCCTATACCTAAAGATGAAGAAGGGACGAATACTGACCTTCGAAAGAAATAAAAAAGGAAGAATAATTGAAATAGGAAGTGCAGACTATGTTAGAGATAAAGTTGAAAGAAAGAGCACAAGTATATGTTATTTTCTTCGAGGCAACCTAATCTCATGAATTAAAAAGAAGCAAGGGGCGATAGCTTTGTCTACAGTTGAAGCAAAATACATATCAACTGCCAACTGTTGCACTCAGCTGCTTTGGATCAAGAATCAGCTAGAAGATTGTAATATTTACAAGCATAACATTCTCATTTTGTGTGATAATATTGTTACAATTACTCTATCTAAACATCTCATTTTACATTCAAGAGCTAAACATTTAAAATTAAACATGATTTAATAAGAGATCATGTTCAAAAGGGCACTATAAACTTATAATTTGTAACCACAAAAGATTAACTAACTGATATTTCTACTAAGCCCTTAGCAGAAGACAAACATAATCGTCTAATTTTGCTATGTGAACTAACCTTTGTAAAGTGACATTCCATTGCTATTGGCCTAGGCACATAACGCAACTCTATATATCATCCCATAATATGTTGTCTAATGAACATCAGCATGCATACATACCTTGCATGTACATCCACGTGGTGAATTATATCAAGCTCACTCATCTTTTACTGTTTGGAGCAAAATTAACCTTTTATGAACCCTAAACCCAAGACATCATGTCCTTATTGTTATGATCTATGAATTTAGTTTACATCTCATCCTTTAGACCACATTATAACTGAAGCTTACAAACATCAGCTGAACACACTAACTTACCAATCACTCACCTATCTAGGAAATCTGTACATTTATATGTGTGTGTATATACATCTTCACTGCTATGTACATCAGTGATATATGCATATAAGATCTTTTTCAAGGTATTTTCTTAGATTTAGGAAACAGAGAGAGACCAACAATTAGGATAAAACCTGAAGACATTAGTGAAATACATAAAGTATGAGATATTAAAACATTTTGCCTCTGAAAACAAGAACATAAGTTGAACATAGAATGGGGAGAATCCTGACCTTAGCTGCTGATAATTTATCCATGCCAAGGTAGTGTAAAATGAGTTGTGTGGTTGAACCATTCACTATAAGTGTTAAAAACACAGTTCCACCAGTGAAGAAAACAAACTGCACAATCAAAAAACAATGGAGTCAGTTCATAAAGACAATTAAGATATCAAGGATTTCTAGGTTTCAATGACCTTGCAAAATCTTAGAAGAGTCATGCATTTGAAACTTACAAGTGTTACATTAAATCATAAATTGAAAAACATACCAGTGTTCCTGTCTCTGGAGTCAATTCAATTGATTTGCCACTTGAACGCTAAACCAACCAAAAATTTAATAATTAAATAATTTAACTACAAAAATATGGACATGAATGTAATGATAGCCTCGTATGAGCACACTTTTTTCCTTGATGCATACGTTATTAAGGAACACGATTGTTGTGGAAGTTCTGGAGAATAGATAGATAAAGCAATATATGTCGTATCCTTTGGTCAGTATTTAACTATGATGAACCATTAAATACAAAATGTCATGTTGAAACGCATTTTTTTAAGACATTAATTCCAAGATACGATCACATGCGTTTGAACTTGCATCAATACGCAAGTAAAGATAGGAAAAGAAAAGGAATGAAAATACAAAAGGTTTAATTGAAGTTATATCCCTATAGGAAACATAAATGTAAGATTTTGGTTTTAGGTTTAATTGTCTATCACCATGTCCATTTTGTTTTGTTAAAGGAGTTAACTTATTGACATATAATAACAGTTATGTGGAATAGGAATATCCTTCTCTCTTTTCAAGTTCCCTTAAAATAAAAGTTCTTCCTTTCATCAGAAAGTATCCAAAATTACCTATCCCCACTTGTAAACAATGATAAGTACTTATAATAGGGAGCTCTGTAAATATGCATCCTTAGTCAATGAATACTTGCCTTAACTGATAATGAAAGTGCCAAGGCAACTGCCCCTCGCAATCCTGACCAGATGAGAATAATAGCTTCTTTCCAATCCAAACCATATCCAAAATATCTTAGAAAGGGAAATAATGCTCCAACTACAATGCATCGAGACACTTGAACATATGCATAGAGAAGCAAGAGGTGGGTCCATGATGCTCCTAAAACAGACCCAATAACTTGTAGTCACTCGTTTTGACATAACAAAGATGAGTATGAACAAGAGCTCCATGCACAGCAACATTAAGAAGATAGAAAGAGCAATGCAAGACATAGTACATACATATGTGATTTAAATATTTAAAGAAATTCTAGGCTCTATGGACTTGTCAAATCCCCCCGCTAACTTGGAAATACAGCTTTATCCAGCATAATTAAGATTCATCAGCACATTCAGACAAGATTGCGATAAAACTCCCATTTATTAACATTTTTTTCATGTATTTGCACTCAATATACTTCATGGTACACATTTTCCCAATAGAACATAACTAACAATATAATCCATAGCATAGTGAAAAGAAGAAAAAAAACAAGAATATACGAAGTGATTCTTCAAGTAATACTACCATGATAGAAAACAGTGTTGTCACCAAGTATTCCTTCAGCTATAACAACTCCACTGCAAAAAAAATGATGTGAAAATATTAATGGAATTGATATACTAGTGAGAATGTCCTACATTTATTAAACCACGGAAACATTTTCGGTTTTCAATACAAAACAATTAAAAGCTTGTTTCACAAGTTATATCAATAGTCTATGATTTAAGATTCCGACCAAGCCCTTACCTCAAAATGAATATTAAGGTATTAGCAATATAAGCAATCATTTCCCTGGAGAAAAATAAATAAATGATTAAAACACAATTGCATTTGACTAAAAAATAAAAATACAGAAAATAAGAAGATTTCATATGACAAATATAAGGTGTGACCTTGCTGCAGCAAGGTTTATAGTGATTAACTATGTTAGAGATATGCTTTTGTAAAGTCTTTATTCTTTTAATTTTTGAACAGTTGTTTGTTATTTGATAGGATTGAAACAATGAGCAGTGATTGCAAAGGAGGAGAAAGGAAGAAAACACAGAAGAAGAGGAAGAGAGAAAGTTGGAACCCGACGGTGTTCAAATATGAGGAAAAGATTACAATTGTTTTTTTGTTTATGCTATAACTTGCAATTCCTATTTATAGGAATTGGCAGCTAGGTACAACAAAAGAAACAACTAACTAACAGAGGTATAACAATGCTCCCTCCATGAGATAAACCTTGTCCTCAAGGTTTGAATGAGGGATAGCATTGTTTAAAATCATAAAAAAATTCCCAAGTGGCATCTTCAGGCAACAAATGTTTCCATTTGACCAGGATTTTCGTGACCGGCAAACCCCTTCTTTTGACAGTGATTCTATCAAGAATTGCTTTAGGTTCCTTATCGAAGATTGTATCTTGCACCTCGATGGGAACAGATGGCAGTAGCTGCTATTCCCACATGTTTCTTCAATTGGGAAACATGAAAAACCTTGTGTATGCGTGATGTCAATGGAAGTGCTAACTTGTAGGCAGCTGTCCCCACCTTGTCCGTCACCTTAAAAGGTCCGTAAAACTTTGGAGAAAGCTTCATATTAGGACATTGAGCGATTGAGATTCGCCTATAAGGGTGAAGTTTAATATAGACAAACTCCCCTATGTTAAATGTTTTGTTTGTTCTACGTTTATCGGCACTTTCCTTCATTTGGTGTTGAGCTCTTTGAAGATGAAATTTGAGAACTTTGAGCATTTCTTCTCTTTTGACCAAGCTGCAGTCCACCAAGTCTATTTTGGATTCACTCGGTAAATAAGGAAGGACAATAGGTGATGGGGACATGACCGTGAGCAAGGGCAAGGATCCACTTGAAGGACTTGGAGGACCTATGACAAGGGCTAGAGCAAAGGAAACTCTTCAACAAGTGTCGTCCATATTATTTGAATACAAATCCACATTTCAAGGAGAAAAGACCAAAGTTGTGAATTGCATCATAACCCAAATAGAGGAGGACTAATGCGTCACTTTGTTTTAGTCTTTAAGTTTGTTTAACTAATGGTCCAATCTTTTGTAAAATTGACTAACCAAATTATGTTTTGCGTTAATCAATTAATGGGTTTTAGTTTGGTTTAGTTTCAAGTTATAATAAGGACTCAATCGGAAACTTAGGCATCAGCCTTTGGAAGACCAAGAGGGTATATATCTGATTGACTTTTGGTTGCCACAATTTCAATTACAATCAGCCATTAAGTAGTTTCCAATTCTTAGGTTAATGGATCATTATTAGCATTTATTTGTCTCCCTTAAGTAGTTTTCAATTCCTAGATTAATAGATCATTATTAGCATTTATTTTCTTTTATTGAGTCTTTGTAACTCAGATGGCAAAAACTTCTATATAAGCTGAACCATTTTTATCAAAAATACAAGTTCAGTTTTATTCAAAAATATTAGAGTTAACTCTTTTATGTTGGTGAGAGTGATTAGTTCTTGAGTGATTCAAGAACCCTTGGCTATATCAAAGAACTTTTACATCCTTTGTGAGTTGTCTCTCTTGAGAAGAGTGATTCTTTCATTTGACCTTTCACATTCACCTCTTGTCCTTTTTTCACCAGAAGCCAAAAAACTCAATTATGCCCAGATTTATTTCATGGTCATAACTTCCATTTTACTCGTTCAAATTGAGTGTCTTTTTAGCCCATATTGAAATTCATAACGAGAACTTTCACCTCGTTTTTTAATCAACTCAATAGGAGTTTTATAGCTGGAGATATCGACGTTTCAAAAATTCTGCCCAACCCTGAAACTTTCACCACTTTCTAATCCATCTTCTCACTAATTTCCTAAATTTCTTACAAGGTTCTAACCTTAAAGATCCTAAGTCAGCCCTTGTGCAAATGAGGTTCATATCATTTGGTATCAAATCTCCAGTTTAAGGGTTTGAACATCAAATTGAGGAGGAGGAAACTTCAAAGGGAGATTTATTAATGATTAGGCGATTACTTGGTAGCAAACTGAAACCTATGGAAGAAAGCCAAAGAGAAAATATCTTTCGCACTAGATGTTTAATCAATAGTAAGGTGTGCATGATGATCATAAATGGAGGTAGTTGCACCAATGTGGCTAGTGCTATATTAGTGTCAAAGCTAAATTTATCTACTAAACCACATACTAGGCCTTATAAACTTCAATGGCTTAGTAAGGATGGAGAGGTGCAAGTGAGGCAGCAAGTTGAAATGGACATTTCCATTGGAAAATACAATGATAAGATGTTTTATGATGTTATTCCTATGGAGGGAAACCACTTACTTTTGGGGAGACCGTAGCAATTTAATAAAAGAGTCAATCATAATGGGTTCACCACCAAGATCTCTTTCATACATCAAGACAAGAAGATTGTGCACAAACCTTTGAGTTCATAAGAAGAAAAACTTCTTCAAGAAAAGAGAGAAAAAGAAAACGTTAGTGAAACACACTTGAGAGGAAAAAGAGTGAATAAAAAAATAGTGAAATACTTGAAGTGAGGAAGAGCTATTTAGCCACAAAAAGTGAGGTCAAGAAGTTGCTTCTTGCTAAACAACCCCTATATGTCTTGATTTGCAAAAATCAGATTTTGACCACTAATGATGATTTTGAATTGCCTTCTAGTGTTAAATCTCTTTTGCAAGATTTTCAAGATGTGTTTCCAACAAGTGTGCCAAGTGGACTACCACCTTTGAGGGGAATTGAGCATCAAATTGATCTCGTTCTGGGAGCTTCATTGCCCAATAGACCAACCTATAGAAACAATTCACAAGAAACTAGAGAGATTCAAAGACAAGTGGATGAACTCATTAGCAAAGATTGGGTAAGAGATAGCATGAGTCCTTGTGCTGTCCCGATAATTTTGGTCCCTAAAAAAGATGGGACCTAGTGCATGTGTTCCGATTGTTGAGCCCTTAATAACATCACCATTAAATATAGGCATCCTATACCTAGGCTTGATGAATTTCATGGTGCATGTTATTTCTCTAAAATTGATTTAAAAAGTGGATACAATCAAATTAGGATTAGAGAAGGGGATAAATGGAACCGTTTTCTAAACAAAATATGGTTTGTATGAATGGTAAATTATGTCTTTTGGCTTAGCTAATGCTCCTAGCACTTTCATGAGATTAATAAACCATGTATTGAGAGAATTCATAGGAAAATTTGTTGTGGTGTACTTTGGTGATATTCTTATCTATAACACTTTACTTGATTTGCATGCTGATTATTTAAAATTTGTCTTGTGTGTGCTTAGAGACGAACAATTATATGTCAATCTTGACAAATGCATCTTTTGTACTAACCATGTATTCTTGATTTTGTTGTGACTTCAAAAGGAATACAAGTGGATGAGAAAAAGGTTAGGGTTATTCAAGAATGGCCTACACCTAAGTCTATGACCGAAGTAAGAAGTTTTCATGGCTTAGCAAGTTTCTATAGGAGATTTGTGAAGGATTTTAGCACATTGGCAGCACCTCTCAATGAAGTGCTCAAGAAAAATGTTGGTTTCAAATGGGGAGAGAAACAAGAAGAAGCTTTCAAACTTTCAAAAAATCTTTTGAAATTGAGTGTGATGCTTCAAATGTTGGGATTGGGGCTGTGTTGTTGTAAGAGGGTCATCCAATTGCTTATTTTAGTGAAAAGTTAGGTGGTCCTACCCTTAATTATTCAACTTATGATAAGAAGTTGTATGCCTTAGTGAGGGCTTCAAAAACATGGCAAGACTACCTTTATCCTAAGGAATTTGTCATTCATAGTGACCATGAGTCCCTCATGTATCTTAAGGGGCAAGGTAAGCTGAATAAAAGGCATGCCAAGTGGGTAGAATTTCTAGAGCAATTTCCTTATGTTATCAAACATAAAAGGGGACAAGGTAACGTTGTAGCCGATGCTCTTTCTCGGCATCATGCTTTGCTTTCTATGCTTGAAACAAAATTGATTGATCTTGAATGTTTGAAAATGATGAAACCTTTGGTGAAATTTTTAAAAATTGTGAAAAATTTTCAGAAAATGGTTTCTTTAGACATGAAGGCTTTCTTTTCAAAGAAAACAAATTGTGTATGCCTAAATGTTCTATAAGAAACTTGCTTGCTAGTGAAACACATGAAGGAGGTTTAATGGAACATTTTGGGGTTCAAAAAACTCTAGAAACATTACAAGAACATTTTTATTGACCTCATTTGAAAAAGGATGCGCAGAAATTTTGTGAACAATTCATTGTTTGTAAAAAGGCAAAGTAAAAAATTAAGCCTCATAGATTGTATACTCCATTGTCAATTCCGGAGCATCCTTGGATTGATTTATCCATGGATTTTGTTTTGGGGTTGCCAAAAACAAGTAGTGGCAAAGATTCAATTTTTGTGCTTGTTGATAGGTTTTCTAAAATGATTCACTTTATTCCATGTAAAAAATTGAATGATGCTTCTCATGTGACTGATTTGTTTTTCAAGAAAATTGTGAGACTTCATGGTTTGCCAAGGAGCATTGTTAGTGATAGGGACTCTAAGTTCCTAGGCCATTTTTGGAGGACCTTGTGGGGCAAGTTGGGAACTAAATTGTTATTTTCAACCACTTGTCACCCACAAACCGATGAACAAATGAAAGTTGTTAATAAGACATTGGAAACATTGCTTAAGACAGTTTTGAGGAAGAACATAAAGAATTGGAAAGTCTATTTACCCCATAATGAGTTTGGTTACAATAGAGTTGTTCGTACCACTACTAATTGTTCTCCTTTTAAGGTTGTTTATGGTTTTAACCCACTAACTCCTCTTGATCTTTTGCCTATGTCTAATGTTTCAGTTTTTAAGCATAAAAAAGGTTAAGCTAAGGCAGACTATGAGAAGAAGCTTCATGAAAGAGTCAAATATCAAAATGAAAAAAGAAATGAAAGTTATGTTAGGCAAGTCAACAAAGGGAGAAAGAAGGTTGTCTTCCAACCCGGAGATTGGGTTTGGGTGCACATGAGAAAGGAAATGTTTCCGGAACAAAGGAAATCAAAACTTCAACCAAGGAGGAATGGTCCATTCCAAGTGCTTGGAAGAATCAATGGCAATGCTTACAAAATTGGGTTGCCCAGTGAGTATAATGTTAGTTTCACATTCAATGTGTCTTATTTATCTCTTTTTGATATAGATGGAGAATTCGATTTGAGAACAAATACTTCTCAAGAGGGACAGAATGATGGCACATGACCATAAGTAAAGACAAGGATCCGCTTGAAGGACTTGGAGGACCTATGACAAGGGCTAGAGTAAGGAAAGCAAAGGAAACTCTTTAACAAATTTTGTCCATATTATTTGAATACAAACCCACATTTCAAGGAAAAAATAATAAAATTGTGAATTGCATCATGGCTCAAATGGAGGAGGACTAATGCGTCACTTTGTTTGAGTCTTTAAGTTTGTTTAAATAATGGTTCAATCCTTTTTAAAATTAACTGACCAAATTATGTTTTGGGTTAATCAATTAATGGGTTTTAGTTTGATTTTGTTTCAAGTTGTAATAAGGGCCCAATTGGAAACTTAGGCATCAACTTTGGAAAACCAAGAGGATGCATAGTTGATTGACTTTTGGTTCCCACAATTTCAGTTACAATCAACCATTAAGTAGTTTCTAATTCCTAGGTTAATGGATCATTATTAGCATTTATTTGTCTCCATTAAGTAGTTTTTAATTTCTAGATTAATAGATCATTATTAACATTTATTTTCCTTTATTGAGTCTTTGTAACTCTGATGACAAAAACTTTTATATAAGCTGAACCATTTTTATCAAAAATACAAGTTGAGTTATAAATATTAGAGTTTAGCTTTTTTATATTGGTGAGAGTGATTCTTTAAGTTCTTGAGTGATTCAAGAACCCTTGGCTATATCAAGGAACTTTCACATCCTTTGTGAGTTGCCTCCCTTAGGAAAAGTGATTCTTTCCTTTGACATTTCACATTCACCTCTTCTCCTTCCTTCATCAGAACACAGAAAACTCAATTCTGCCAAGATTTATTTCATGGTCATAAATTTCATTCTACTCATTCAAATTTAGTGTTTTTTTAGCCTAAATTGCAATTCAGAACAAGAACTTTCACCTCGTTTTTTAATCACCTCAATTGGTGTTTTATAGCTTGAGATATCTTTCAAAAATTCTGCCCAGCCCTGAAACTTTCACTACTTTCTAATTCACCTTCTCACTAATTTCCTAAATTTCCTACAAGGTTCTAATCCTAATGATCTTAAGTCAGTCCTCGTGCAAATGAGGTTCATATCAATAGGGGGTGGTTGCCCAAACATTATTTCGTATGGGGTAGTGTTTATAGCATAATGATAGTTTGTATTGTACAATCATTCGGCTAAAGGTAGCCATTTACTCCACTGGTATGGGGTGTCAGAACACATGCACCGTAACTAGGTCTCAAGACAACTATTAACGCGACCTTGGTCTGGCCGTCAGTTTAGCCGTAAATAGGAGCGATGTGAAATTTACGTTTTCTATTTTAATATATCAAGTTATTTTAATTGAAATTGTACTAATACGTTTTTTTTTTTTACTTTTATCATTTTATTTATTATTTATTATTTTATTTTTCATTATTATTTTTATTTTTTATATAAAATTAGTCAATATTTTATTATTTTTTAAAATCAAATGTTTTTTAATAGTTTTTATTTAAAAATATTATATTGTATTCATCATGTATCTTACGATTCATGATAAGATTCAATTCACGGTTCATAAAAATTATAAAAACGATTCATGATTTGAATCTTGATTTGATAACCATGATCTTTGATGGAGCTCCATTAGGTCAGCCATGGGATCACTAGAAATGTTGTCAAATCGTTCACGAATCAATGTACTATACGTTTTCCAAAATAGTGTACTATACGTTTTCCAAAATAGTGTAGCGCAATTTCTGTGTTTAGCCAAGGTTGTTTGCCATTGAGTTGCCCTTCCGTCAAGATGAACAATAGCAAATTGAACTTGCATATCATCAGGTGTATGATCAATGGCCGTGTTTAATAAAATATAATTTTCATAAATTCTTTGTTATTAGTAAGCTTAAGTTAATGACAATTTTTCCCTTCTAGAATCCAATTTGGTTGAAGGGTATCTACAGGTTAGCTCACGAATAACACCACTATCAAAAACATAGTTTTTTAATTGGTTGCCAAACTGAATTTGAATCATATGGTAAAAATTTACAAACAATTAGATAACCTCAAATGTATCTTTCATAATAAAAATCCACGTCACTCACGTGCAATCCTCAATAAAGGAACAAATTAACAAATCATTTTGCACCAGAGATATTACAAACAGCCACAAGATCCCTCAAATCATGATAAAAGTCAAAAGGCTTAACATATTTCACAAAATCAAAAGTTGAATGATAGTGTTTAGCAAATTGACATAATTTACAAATACTTTTTCTCATCGCTTTTGTATCAAGTGTACAAAGAAAATTCTGGTTGAAAAAATGTGTTTGCAGAAAATTTGAACATAAAAAAGGGAAAAAAAAAAAAAACACTCACCCATAGATGAATTTAATTTATATCGACAACAGTAAAATGCATACCAAAAGTGATGTAAGCTTTGTTGACTTTCACCCTTAAAAGCTGTCCTTGCAAATGCAGAATAGAACCTATAGAAAGATTTCAATAACCACATTTCAAAAAAGGAATATTAGTCATTACATACTAAAGGCCAACTTACATTCCCAAAGACATCACCGTCAAAACACCTGAGACACCTGAACCCTCCTGAGCCTGTAAAAACCATCAATTTCCTCATACACAAGATTGGAGTAACTTAAGATAAAACCAAGAACAAAGACCAAATATGATGATAATAGATATAATCTCTCATCTTGCCGCAAGATACATCCAAGAAATTAGGGTTATAAAACCAATACTTCCTACTTGTTTAAGTATTATAATAAAAATATAATCTCTAAATTCATTAAAAGATGAATCCAAATTCGAAGGGTACTTACAGTGAAATAAGCAATGTAGCTAACAGCAAATGTAAGAGCAATCTCAATCACTGTATCATTAAATATAAACCCTAGCCACAAAACAGATGCAATCCCAAAAGCAAGACCCATTCCTACACTGGACCGAGCAAACAGTCACATGAGTGAAGATATTTTTTGCCACTAGTGCAACAAAGAAGTAGGTGAAACCTACGCTCCAAGTGAAACTTGTGCTAGAAATTTGATTATAGCAACCCAATTGAAGGTCTCTCCAAGAACCATCCGATAGAAAAGAGTATAAACGACAATAGCCGTCCTGGACAAGAATGAAGATTAAGCTTTCTCAAATACAAATACAAAAAAATATACATTTAAAAAACTATACATGCTGAATAGTCACTCATTCTACACGTTCAAGGCTTTGAGCCACTTCATACTACCTAGATTCACTTGGTAAAAAACAAAAATTCATTTGAAGAGTATATGTTAGTTAAAGAATTGCAAAGGGTACAAAAAATACCCATCATTCATCAAGGATTCCCCTTCAATTATTGTGCTTAATTTTTTGCTGGCACCAAGATCTTTCAACAAAGCCACAACAGCAACAGGATCAGTTGCACTCAGAAGTCCCCCAAGCAAAAGTGATGTTTTCCAACCCCAGTTGTATGGAAAAGTAAGCTGTATTATGAAATATGAGTTATAATCATATAAGACAAACAATGAAATCTAAACACATCAACTCACATACCTTCATAACAACTCCAAGACAAACGGTTGAAAGAGCAACACCAGGACCAGCTAGTAAGAGCATTTGTGCAAGGCACCTCTGCATTCAGTTCAAATTCATTTTGTGTTGCAACATCAGGCATTTTATAAGTAATAATCAATGACTTATTGTTAGGAACTCCATTACTGACCACACTCAGTTAATATGAAAATCTTGACACACTCACGCACACCATCGAATTGCACCGAAAAATACCTCCATTGATTTCACTAACCTTCCGAAAGTACAACAGTAACAGGGTAAACAAAATTAGCCCAAAAGAAGCACTCTCCTTTTTACACCGACAATACCCAGTATTGACTTTTTTTCTGTCTGTCTAAAAGTACCTACAACATACAACACAAGACCTATTTATTCTGTCCTCCTATACTAAGAGATATAACAGCCTACCAAGAACACCCATTAATTACAATTTTAACCCTTATTTTTTCTTCTAACATACGCCTGTAAAGGTTTTTTCCATTACCTATTGTCTCTATTATGTCTAACACTTATATTATTATAAAATAAAAAAGCATCAATCCCTATTTAGCAGCATTTAATGCTAGCTACATCTAATCTCGTGTATTAAATTTGTTCATCTTCCATTTGGGATTACTGATACTTGTATGAAGTAGAGTTATTTAGTCTCATTATGTGCATTAAAGATTTCAAAGTAATTGATATTTTACTTAGAATAGTTAGTTTCTAGCTCAGTTTTCAAGTTGATCTCCTTTAGTTTATATACCTTCTGTTAAATTTTGTAGATCATTTGAATTGTTTTGTTCAAGTTTCACTCTATTGATGATGCTTAATGGTGAACATGTTCGCTGATGGGGTTTTGTGAAATTTAGGAAGCAACAAACACAGCAGCGTACATCTAGAATAGGCACCAAAGCATACATAATATTGAATATGCATGCGTAAATGATTGGCTCAGCACACAATCATGTAAGAATGTGTCAGTGTTGCATATATATATAACATAGGAACTATCAGAAGAGAAAAAACCCATCACTTATAAATGAAACAAAATAAACTAATAAAAGAATCCAAGAAAAGAAACCTTAATTTGGTGAACTTCCATTAAGAATGAGCTCTCAAAAAGGAGAGCAGGAAGAAAAACGGCTAACAGAAGGTCTGGATCAATCTCTGACCCTGCATATCAAAAGCATCAATCAATTCAATTATTTTTAAACAAGAACCAGTGAAGATGAAAGCTTCTAAATTTGAAAATATTCTAAAAGCCCAGTCTATATAAACATGTTCCAAAGCTGTACATTGAAAAGTCATTTCCTTGTTTTCTTTTATTGGCAAGTACATAAGTTTCAAATTAATTACAATAGAAACAGAACAATCTTACAAAGACGAATTCCATCTCCAATCTTTCCCAGCCGATGATGAGTACCATATTCTGTTTAGAAACCCACCATTAATCAGCCAAATTATTAAAACATTAAATGGAAAAAACTGTATACTATATTAAGAATTTCAAAAAAGGAGTAAATATAAATGAAAAGAAGAGTTAAGGACCCCTGTTCGAAGGAAAAAGTTAAACAGTGAAGGAGGCCTATCGTCAGCTGTCATATAGATTGGCAAAAAATAGTTTCCATCTCTAAGAAACCTTGGAAAGGACCACTTTCTTAGGAATATTCTCCATACCCAGGATTTTAATTGAAAAATGCAACATTTTCCTAACAGGAAGGTTTTCAGAGACCCAAGTAACCTCTGATGAGGCAAAGAACGAAGCAAAATTATAAATAGAAATGATAATCAACGGTGTCTTAATTTTATCCAGTGTTTGACTAAAACGGGAAATTGAGGAGTTCAAAGGGTGTCTGAATTTTTCTCCTGTTAGTTATCGTCCTTATATAAAAAGTCAACACCCCCAGATTCCTTTGGACACTAAAACATCTGTCTTTTTCCTTTTTTTTAATCGTAATCACACCAAACCCAGCCAAACAAATCCAAGATTAAGAAACAACAAAAGGATGATGAAAAAGAGACGGGTGGGACCTATTGATCCAAGTGCAATGCCAATGATGAGCAAGGCAACTGTGTAAGGAACTCTAGTCCCACGCAAGAGGTGCCTACAAGCAATCCCCAGAGCCAAACTGAGACCAAAGAAGATCACTGCATCTGATGGATTGGAGTGTTCGTCTGAAGAGGTAGAAGGAGCAGAAGCAGCAGAGACAACAGAAAGAGAAAGGGAAAGTGGAAGAGGTTGTTGCTCTTGTTCTTGCTCCATTTGCAGCGGTGATGAAAGATGAGAAATGGGAAGCCACGATAATCAGGTTCGGGTGTTTGGATCAGCCAGAAGCTGAGACACGTGCAACAGAGAGAGAAGGTTGCGTTTTATTTTGTTTTGTTTTGGTACGTTGGAATCTAGCTGCAGACTGAAGAGTAATGTTCTACGCGACAATACTCTTCATTGACTAATTAAATTGGATCCACGTATACACATTACTTATTATTATTTTTTCAAATAACTAGCTCTAAATAAAATATTTTACAATAAAGCAACTCTTTTTAGTTGCTTTCAATAGTCCTATAAAAAAAACCTTTTATCAAAACGATAAGTATGTTAAAAAGTGACGGTTGAAAAATAATATAATTATATAATTTTTTGTGTTTTTTTTTTTAAAACGTTCCCTCTCTTTTTGGTTACTCCTCATAAAAATAGAAAACTAATTTTTTTCTACTTTTATTTTTCTTTAATTGTCCAAATATGTTTGAAAATCATAAGATTATTTTACTAAAATCAATTTTTTTGATAAACAACTAAACAAGCAGACGTAATATTTTGTTAATAGCTTATTTTATAATTTATAATTAATTAAAATTTTAAAAGTGATATATTTTTAGCACAATTTTTTCATAAATTAAAATAAAATATATAATATAATTAAGTTATATTTTTACTTAAAATGTTGAAAATACATAATTTTATACCAATGTTATAATATAAAAGACAATAATTAAAATAACAAAAGTTGTATAATTAAAATAATAATTAATCTTATTAATTATTAAGGAAAAAATATTCTTAATATGTTTACAATAGATATTGAATAGATATTGAAATTGTGATAGTGTGTTGAACAATGAACTTTTCTTCTTTTAAATAAGAAATAAGTATGATAAAAATAAGATCCATATTAATTATAAACGCATCATTAGTTCTAACCAAAATGTTTATTGATATTTGTAAAGGATTGTCGTGATTGAAACATTTCAAATGTCTATTTCACATCTTTTTTATTTTATTTTATTTTCTAATCAAAAGTAAAGAATGTTATTACATCACTAAACAAGTTAGAACTAAAACTTCCATCAATCATATGTAACATTTATAATATAATTTTTTTTATCACAAAGTAATCTTGGGATGGTCTTCGTAAGTATAAACCAATTATGATAAATATTATCTTCTAGTAATATTAGGTTTGATTCACTCCAAATTGTACATGTTTCTTACCGTAACATCCTTCAATATAGGAAATTCATTTGATATTCTTCCTTCAATATTGGAAATTCATTTAACACATTAATGTCATTGTTTGAATATGTAATTCTAAAATATGTATGTCAAATCCATAAGTAGGGGTGTTAGTATGGATTGAAACATGTGAATTAATTTGGCTCATTAGGGTTCGAGTTGGGTTGGATACAATTTTTTTCATTTTTATCAATAATGGATTAAAATTGAACTCGACTCACTTAATCCATGTGTTAAGTGGGTTTGAGTTAGGTTGTGGTGGGTTGACCCGTAATCCACCAATCATTTTAAATCTCAAAAATAATTTTGTAATCTTATTATTTTGTCTCTCCACCTCTACTCTATGTTATCACTACAAGTCAAACTCTCACTCAAATTTATCATTAATTGTTCGTCGCACCACAACTTTTTTCGAGTCACCACATTCGCCATATTAGGTCTTTTGAGAGGGGATTTATTAGAGAGAAACAACACCAATGAGACATGAGTTCAATCCACATAAGGAATTAACACTACTCTCAATCCAAAATCTTAAGGCATTGGGTTATGGGTTTTTCTTCCTTATATGTTGCTCAACTTTCCTATTCTTACTCAATATGGGACTCAGACTCACTTAGATTTCCTAACAATTTCTCCCTCAAGTATGAATTTCTCCACATTGGTACATCCCCTTGAATTCACTAGTGTCCCTTCCATGTACCGTCGTTCATCATAACGAGATATGCTTACCTGACCCATTATCAGGAAGACTTTTTATACAAAGACCACACATGATCTCAACCCACATAAGAGATTGACACCCACCACAAGAAATTTGTCAATTAGTTAGGAAAATTTGCTATAAAATTTATTTTTCACTAATCTGTAGAAAATAGCTAGAAGACTAATATTTTTCTAGTTATTCCCTCACTTAGTAGAAAAATAATTTAGCTAGGAAATTTTTTGTCACTAATCCCTCGCTATGAATATTAGTTATGTTACTTTTTGAAGCTATTTCTTAGCTAAACTGTGTAACATACAATCATCGCTAAATTGTAGCAAATTCATCGCAAATATCAAATTGAAAAGAGTATGAAGTTGTTAAGAAACATTCTCTCATAATTTCAATGTAAATTTGCTACATATTTCTTCACATATCTCTTGTAAATACAAGTCAATTCTCTACTAAAAATTATTTATTTTCTATATTTTTTTTTGCAAGAAATTATTTACAAAAATACTTGTAAATTTTTCTAAAAATAATTAATTAAAAAATAATTTTGATATTTTTGAAAAAATATCAACAAAAATTAATTTCAAATTTTTCTTAAAAAATTTATTTGGAAATATTTTTACCAAATTTACTGTAAATATATTAATTATATATATATATATATATATATATATATATATACAAATAAATTATTTTTTGTATCTGAAATGAATTATTTGGAAATAATTATGATTTTTTTGAAAAAAATATCTAAAACAAATTGGTAAATATTTAAAATTATTTTCTGTAAATTTTTATAAATTTAAATTTGTATGAAGTATTTAATAATATTTAAATAAGTAGTAGAAAATTTTATGAATAATATTTTTTTATAAATTTTTCTTAGAAATTATTCTTTATAATTATCATATGTAAATATTTATTTAAATACTATTTTAAATATAAACATCTTTAATATAATAATAAAGATTTTTTTAAAATTATAGAAATTTTATCTTTTTTTAATAAAATTCCTAAATTAATTTTCTCCCCTTCTTCAAAATTCTTCTCATTTCCAACTAAAACCTAGAACTGCGCTTAGTCACCTTTATCGTTGCTACCACTACCGTTGTTGTGCCACTACCACACTGCTTCGTGTTGTTGTCGCACCGTACCACTGCTAGGATGTTGGTAACCAGTTGCAACAAAGCCAAGCAATTTTAGTGGTGTTTACATTTCCTTCCCGCCAAACCTTTTCGGTAACTATTCTTCGCTCACGCTTTCTCACGGTAATCTCTTCTTCACTTTGATCATTAACCTGAAGTTATTCATCACTTAACATGTAGTTATTTAGTTTATTGTTTTATTAGTTTCCCTTTGTTGTTTCCAATTTAGAATAATCATGTTCTACTTTATATGTGATCGAGTCTCCCTATATCACATTGAATGTTAGTTTATAACTTGTGCTCTATTGATGTTAGTTGATGTGGCTTCAATCAAATGAGCCATTTGTATTAGCTCAACAGGCTCAACAAGTGTATTATATAAAATACCCACAAAATAGGAGTAGAAATAATGGTGATTGGTGGGCAGCTTGCAAGGTTAGAGCAAAATTATTTATGATTGAGACATTAAATAATGAAGTTGATTTGTCAAATGAGAAACTTGTTACTAATTGTTTTCAAGATGATGGATCAATGGAGATGCCTAATATTCTTCTTAATGATGAGGAGATACAATTGTTTGATGCAAATGCCCCAATGAAAGAAATAAACATCGATGATGTTAATTATTCAATGAATAATGTGCACAATATTGAATTCATAAATGACAATGATGAGTTCATGGATGAAGAGATGAAGTTTGATGGTTCAAGTAATGATTTAGACAATTCAGACAAGTAGTGGTAGTGGTTATGAATGAATCACCTTAAATTTATTTAATGGTAGAAATGTTATGTTTAAATTAAATTAATTATTTCCTGTTATTTTTTCTTATTTGTATAATAGTGACATGTTTTTTTAATTCATTATATTTCTATGTAGAAACTCAAATGCCTCTTCGAGGAAAAGGGTGGGGTTGATGTTTTATTACTCCATTTCATCCTCCTCAATCTCGCATTAATCCTCCATAACTAGATTCTATTTTGCACTCACCACATATAGTATAAATACTTGAATAATATTTTATTTATTGACTTTTAAATTATTTAAATATAATGTATTGTTCATTATTCTTGTCTTAGCTACTACTTCCATCCATGAACCATCAACCGAGGTTGGTCAATAAACAACCACCACTACTACAAAATATACTTTCTACGTCATCATTTAACGTCGGTTATAGCTGAGACGACGTAGAAAGTACTTTCCACGTCGGTTCCCAGATGAACCGACATTGAAAGTTGAATATTAAACACATTCTACGTCGGTTCTTAGTCAATCGACGTAGAAAGTACTTTCTATGTCGGTTCCCATATAAACCGACGTAGAAAGTACTTTCTATGTCGGTTCCCATATAAACCGACGTTGAAAGTACTTTCTATGTCGGTTCCCATATAAACCGAGCGTTGAAAGTCTTTTTTTTTTTTTTTTTACTTATTGACACTTTCCACGTCGGTTCCCATATGAACCGAGCGTGGAAAGTCTTTTTTTTTTATTTTTTTTCACCCAAAAACTCACTTAAATTTGAAAATTGTTATTGGTAGGATTCGAACCCGAGTATTTTAGAATTGGAGGCTAATACTCCAACCACTAAGCTACTAGAATTTTCTCGATAATAACTTACAAATAAATTATATTTATATACAAATAAATATATATCCATGTAAATATATATTTATTTGTATATATTTTCTGGAAAGTATTTTTATTTTTATTTTCGACCAAAAATTCTCTTAAGTTAATGAATTATCACTTGGTAGCATTAGAACCCGAGTATTTTAGGGTTGAAAGTTAATATCCCAACCACTAAACTACTATATTTTTTTGATAAATAACTTACAAATAAATTATATTGGTATTTTTTGATCGAGGGTGAAAGTGTGATTGACTCTTGCTTGAGTGAAAATATGTTAAAGCTCACGGAAATTCACTTACTCAAGTCTCGCTTGAGCGAAAATTGGTATTTTTCGCTTGAGAGCAAATAACGCGTTTCCCAAATTTATTTTATATCATTATATAAATAAAATTATAAAGATTATATTACGTCATTAAATTACAAACTCATATAAAGATACCTGCTCACAAATTTAGCATCAAATTTTGAAAACCCACTCGACACACACTTTCACTTTCGAGTGTGCCCTCACATCCAACATATAAATATATAACTATATAAATATATCAAAATATATAAATATATTTGTATTTATATATTTATATATTTATTTGTATATAAATATAATTTATTTGTAAATTATTATCGAGAAAATTCTAGTAGTTTAGTAGTTGGAGTATCGGCCTCCAACTCTAAAGTACTTGGGTTCGAATCCTGTCAATGACAATTCTCTTAAAAAATTAATAAACTTCTAAAAAATATAATATAAAGAGAGGGGAGACTTCTAGATAAATAAAAGGGGGTAAAGGGGTTGTAAATAAATAAAAATTATTAATTTAAAAAATCATACTTTCAACGTCGGTTTATTAGAACCGACGTTGAAAGTTACGACTTTCAACGTCGCCTGATACAACGTCGGTTCAACAACCGACGTTGAAAGCTTTATTTGTAGTAGTGCACCATTCCATCAATTGATGCTGGTCAATCAAATGTTACCCTAATGTATGATAATCCACAATCTACAAAAGAGCCTTTAAGTGAAAAATCTCATAATGAAGTTGATAGAAAACTTGTTATATCTGTGTAACGAGTTAGAACCCGTAAGTTGAACTAAATTTAATTATTAGTTATTCATCTTTATATTACTAAATCATAATAATTTATACATTGAGAATTTTAAATTGTAGGAGGAGGTTTGTTCCTGATTCAATTACTCGTGATATTATATCTGAGTTACTCATGAGAATGTCAAATCCCAGCACCAAATTGGAAAAAAATATTGCTTGTTATGAAAGAAAATTTATTCAATAATTTTATGGTTAGTAATTATTATGTTAAAATACTTAAATAGTTTTGCTTTAACTTTTGTATCAAGCAATACATTTATCTAATTTTTATTGGTGTAGAACAAGTATCATTTTGCATCAACTTATTATTGAAGTATGATAAGAAAGGTTTGGGATCTGACATGCTTGGAACAATATTCTGACTCTTTAGCTAAGGCAAGGAAAAAATAAAAGAAAGGGAAAATTCAGATAATATTCAAGACTTAAAGGGTCTTGGACCAAGAAGTATAAGGACTGAGACATATGGACAACAGAAGAATGAAAAAAAAAAGTCTATTGGAGATAAGGCCAATAGAGCTGCCAAGCCTGATGCCATGATGCACATAGGAGGATCAAGAAGCTTTGGACAACACTTGAAAAGAATGGTATTCATACTTACATATTTAATACATTTGATCATATAATTGTTAATTAATATCGATTACTAGTTATAAATTGAATATTAGATTTGATGTTGGTATGATATAGTCTTATGTTGTGTTTCTTAAATTGTATATTGTTGTATAAATCTTGAATTATAAATTATTTCACAGGAAGAAAAACACAAACGTCCTATTTCTTATGGTGAATTATATAGCAAAGTTCATAAAAAGAAAGGTGGTGAATATGTGTCTAACAAAGAAAAAAATTTCATTGTAAGTGTGTATATTTTATAAATATTAAACTTTGTGTATTTATAATATTGCTAAAACATTAATTTTATGTAGGAATCATGTGAAAATGTTATGACTAAAAAATATGGGGAAGATACATCAAATAATCTTATAGTTGATCCTGATCTTTGGATAAAGACTACTCGTAAAAATAAAAATCATAAAATTTATAGTATAGGTCAAAGTTTGGTTCTTGGTATTTCACATGTTTCATCTTCATTGTCGCCGCCGTCGAAATGAGGCAGTCAGAGCGACACGATGGTTCCGACTTTCCAATTTTCGCGTTTTTATTGGTGTGGTTACAACGCCTTTAGGTTGTCCGATAACCGGGATGAACCTAAGGGCGAGGTTTTCGAAAAGGCGTTCTTGGATTGTCCGATAACCGGGCTAACCCAAGAACTAACTTTGAAGGGTTCTTCCGGAGTCGCCACCGATGTTTTTACCGGAAACATCAGAAGAGGAGTGAAAAGGCGTTGGTTTTCGAAAAACCAACTTTGGTCATTAAAACCAGAGTTGGGTAAGTGAGTTAGTTACGTGTAAGGGAAATGTTAGTTCCCTTACGACGCCCCTTTCGGGTTCCCTATGATAAGCCAGTTATTTAAATAAGTAAACCGGTGAAAATACACTTTTACCCTTTATTTATGGAATTTAAAATTACGACTACATGACCCTAATATCTACTGCGCAATTAAAAATAAAGCAGTAAAGGAGAGCGAGAGAATGTAGAAACCTCCGAGGCAAGCTTTCCATTAATTTCTTGAAAATTAGGGTGCTTTTTGGCAGCCCTTCACTTTTTACAGCGCCGAAAACCTCTCAAAAACGCTATAAAACTCTTAGAAACTCTCAAAAAACTCCGAAAGTGCTTCGGAGGGGTTCTAGGAAGAGAATTTGAGGAAGTGACAAGAGAGAGAATGGAAGAACTGTGTGAAATGAGGGGAATGACGCGGCTATTTATAGGGATTCGCGCCTGTCAGGTCGAGACGGCCGTCTCGTTTGACAAGGTCGAGACGACCGTCTCGCCATGCCAAAATGGCAAGACGGCCGTCTCGCCATTCGCAGGTAGCGAGACGGCGGTCTTGACCCTAAAAGGTGAAAATCCTTATTTTTCATGCAGAAAATCCCTCCTATCCTAGTATGGGGCCTAATAGTCTCTCCTAGTGGCTTCTTAGGCTTCGTCCATCTTCGAATAGAAGGTCTTCTGGTCTTTATTATGAGACCGGGCAAGATTTGGGGTCTACAGCTGCCCCCCCTTTACTTGACCAGTCGACTGTTGGCCTGTTGTGCCAAGAAGATCCACTGGAGGGTAAAGGAGTTGACCCTCTTGTCCGATTACCCTTCGGATGTTCCATCTTGCGGCGGTTGATCTTCTAGGGAAAATTTATGGTGTGCACCTCCAGGATACTCCTTCTGACGG